TCACCTTGCGCTGAATCAGCTGCGACCAAACACGATGGTCTGCGGACGATGCACACCAAAATAAAGATTCCTTCCGCTTGGAAAATATAAGGAGTGGAATATCAGTCCTGGATAACATGTCAATAAAATGGACATTTAAACATTTGAATGCTTCCCGTGTTTATTCATTATCTAAAAATGTTCTTGGCGAAGGCTCAAAGAACAGACACGTATGTTAGACAGTAAATTATTCCGCATTTGCAATAATCGGGTCACGGGAAAACAGATGATTGTGTTTTGGTTGAGATTGCTTACATTGACACGGGTGCATATGCTCAGCGCTATGCAAGGCCTGCATCGCGAGATGTTTGTGCACGTGTTATCTAACCAGCACGTGGATGGACACGATTTCACATAAAAACGGGGGAAAAGGAAAACTTAAATGTAGGATGTAATTTCTGTGGGCATCCAGACATAAAGTGAAATGCGTGGGTGGGGGTTAATTAGGCCTAATTGCCAGGTTTATACCAATTAGCAACATTATCTAAATTGAAGTAAATTAAGATCCCATTGGGTTTTTTCGTTACCCGTGAAAGCCACTTTTTATTTCCCGAGATGCGTGAATTGCTCGTAATATTTAGCGTGATCCGTGAAGCACCCCGGCCATTCCCAAGACTCGTGAATGCGGCATTTTAATCCTCGTCCTTCGTGAAACGAAGTCATTATGCTTTAGTGAATCGTAATTTTCAACTCGCCGGACTGGCATGTGCACTAAAAACAAATAAATCTTTATTTATTGTGATTTTTGATTTGATGATTTTATTTCTTGTCAATATAAATTAATTCTAAATCACCAATTGCAATTGTATGGGAGTATGTTTTTAGGCTAATTAGCTGTAACAGCTACATGTCGGGGACATTGTAAAATTTACCAGCATTTTCAGTAACGTAATCTCTGTTTATAGTTCGTTATGCTTTAAAACACATTGTGTAAAGGTAAACTCGTCAGATCTTGTTTGTTAATCTGATTAAGAAATTAAGTTCAAGAATCTCTTGTCTCGGTTTGCGATTAAAAAGTGGGATTCCCAACAGATCGTCAGAATGTAGGCTACATGAACAAGCAACCAGTGAACTAAAATCCACGAATCTGGAATGTACATGTAGTATAAATATTAAGGAGTTATATTTATCCAACCAAAAAATTATACAGCAGTGTCCGTATTTCGAGCCTGTTTGTAATATCTTTCTTTACCAAATTTGCGCGGTTCCGGAAACTGCGGCTTTTACCCAGGATAAATCGGATCCGGACTTTCTCCTATTAATTGAAATAAGCTTACTGTGCTCGTTTTAAACGGAATAGACGAGGTTTATGTTTAGGACCAATGCACAGGGGCCCTTCTTTTTCTGTGTGGACTACTATTTTGGATCTATTTTGAAATGATCTAGACATTTTTCAGTCAAAAGTTTAGACAGGATTTGGTTCAGACTTTGGGTCAGAAATTTAAAGTTAAGACGATCTTTTGATTGAAGTTTTAAAAATTAATTAATTAATGTGTGTGTGTGTGCGAGAGAGAGAGAGAGAGAGAAATTTGTTCACGAACAAACATCTGATGCAATGGACTTAGATCTCCGCATTTCGCTAAAACAATATTGCTTCTTTGACTTTACGCGTATTCGAAAATTTGAACATGCAATTGTAGGCCTATACGATTTTATTGAATATTAAACCGATCTGTGCAGCGAAGATCGCTTCGAGTATATTATCTCTTATCATTTAAAATTGAACTTCGTTATAATCTGGTATGTGTCCGATTGATTAACAATGCATGGATATGCCTTACGTCTGTGATCAAAACGTGTCAACAAAAAGGATAACTTACACACACTGGACAAAAGAAGTGTCACCCCTACTGAGCCAATACTATGGGGGAGATAAATGACTGTGGAATGATATGCTCCTGGTATCATTTAATTAACATCAAATTTCACAAAAAATCACAAAATGAGAACAAAATATACATTCTACCAAAATATGCAGTTTCAAGTCAAAAATTAGTACTTACTGGCATAGCCAAGTGACCTAAAAATAGGTGCCAGTCTACGAAGCAAGGTTTCATATAATTGTCTGATGCGTTCAGGGCTTATGCCGGTCCAAGCATGAAACACTGAATATAACAGAGTTTCTCTGCTGGTTAGACGGGCATTTGTAAAAAGTTTTGACATATCATTCCACACATTTTCTATTATGTTTGCACCCGGACTCTGGGCAGGTCACATCACCCTGCGAATGTCCTGTTGGTGAAACCAATCATCAACTGCTCTGGGGCTGTGACAAGGAGCATTTTCATCCTGGTGAAAAAATGGATAATTCCTGTCACCAAACATGTTAGTAATAGATGGTAGCAAGCCTGACTCCAAAACATCGATACATTTCTAGTGATTCATGTTTTAATTAACCACCATCAATTCGCCCAAGCCATGGATGCTGATGCAGCCCCACACTATGATGAATATACTGCTCCGGGTTCGAAAATTCAGTGCATGTGGTTCAAATGCCTTACCAGCAGTTTGCCAGCATAGTACCCGTCTGTCATCAGAGGTCAGACCAAAGCGACACTCATCAGAAAAAATATATAGGACCAATTGTCATGAACTGTCCAGTTCCAGATCCTGTTAACCCTAGTTTAATCTACGTTGCCTGTTTTGTGACGATATAAGAGGTTTCAGTCTTGCTACCCTGCTGTACACTCTCTGAGCATGTAACCGACGCCTAGCAATTTTCACAGACACATTTTTATGTGTGAAATTGTTCCACTGTGTTGTCAACTGACGAGCAGTGTCGAACTTTGACAACCTGGACATCAAAATCAGTCGTCGGTCTTCACGGCCAGTATTTTTTCTTGGACGACCCATCAGAGGCAATTTGTCTCTTGATCCAGTGTTTCTATACCGAGACCAGACCCTCTGCACGGTTCTGACTGAACAATTCAATTGTATCGATATTCTGACATTGCTTATATTCCGCCTCTTCAGGTTAATAACTTGCACCTATAACCGTTAGATAATTGCCTGTATCTTGCCATATTGGAGGAAGACAGGAATAACATTTGCTGTACATGTACAAGACCAACAATACAATTCCATGGTATAGCGGTTTTATACTCATTAGTTACATTATAAGTAGACCAGGCATTATAAGTACCCAAGATCTGCCTACTTTTATTACTCTGAGTTAGGGGGTGACACTTCTTTTGTCCAGTGTGTGTAAGCTAAAACCCAATATTCTTGAGACGGTGCAGGAATGTGATCCTTTCTCTCATTTTTATTGCACTGCGTGCACGGGAGACAAGAGGGAGACACAAAAATACTTATAACGAAATTTTATGGCGCCCATGAGAAATTTGTAGTACTAGTTCCAAAGTAAAAAAAAATCTTACGACCTGTCTTCTTAAGAAGGGTTACAACAGAACGGTTACAAGTTTCAGAAGCATTCCTTCGAATTGCATTTCATCTTTCCGTAAAAATGTAGCGTAGACCTATGCAATGGGTCAAATACGAAGGTGCTTTAACGCCAAAGAATCTGATTTGAAAAATATGAAGATTCTACATATTATCCCTTGATACACCCTGAAATTCAGAAGTTAGCGAATCACGTTTTGATACTTACACTGGAAATACTGTAGCAGAGACATGCTGGTTTCAAGTGACCTCTGAAACGCAGGGTATTCAAACGGCGTCCGTGCTACCAGTTGCCTCTTTGCGATGTCTAAATATGTGACGCCCAAAGACTTCAAATATCCACTTTATGAACAGTCATATTGTATAATATAATATAGTATAAAGCAAACATCGGAAGACGAAGCTTTTGAAGCCTACACAACATTAAAAAAAAAGTGGTTTTAACAGAAATACAATTTATTGACTTAGAATGTACCTTTCTGGATACATTATGTAGGCCTGCATAGTATTAAGTATTACTATGCTATGTTACAGCCATATTAATTAGGAATTTATGTATATCAGCCTGCTGATCTCTATATGTATGTATTTGTGTGTTTATATAACACTGAAATATATTCTAAATGCTTCTTGCTTGCTATAAAATCTTTTCATGCTGCCAATGCTAAGCAAAAGTTGGAAGACAGTCCTTCTTTAATAATAATAATAAAAGTAATAAATGAAAAAAAGAAAGAAAAGTAAGAAAAAAAATCAACAAACATAATGTGAGATTGTCCAGGTTCTACCCAATGAGATAACTAGACAGCAAAGCTGACAAATATTCAGACAACATACAGGAAACAAGGCAGTAAAGCTGGCAAATGTTCAGACATTCAGACGGAGAAAAGTGAACCAAATGTTTTGGTCAATTTTGATGCACTATTACATAATGCTTTAAAACAGCATAATCACTGTTACCCTCCTACATTATGTACTACAGGTAACACGGACACTTACAGTATCTGTATATAAAAATGATTATTCTCTAAATTAAAAAAAATCCAAAGCTTATATAATGAGTAAAACCAAATGCCAGTGTTTATACATTTTTGTGTGCCCTTTACAATTGCCACCTAGGGAAAAAGTTCTTGTTTCAACAATAAGCTATATAAATCCTTTAATCTGTTTTACAGATATCTAGCCCACTGATATGCCATTAAATTGCTGTACATAATATTGAATAAGAGGGGCAGTTTTTGTCATAAGGGAACATTTCTAAATCCAAAATACTTAACAATTCAAGTTTAAAAATCTGAAATGAAAAAACAATGAAAATATGCTTTTATTTACACAAGTTTAAAACGAACAGTAATAGACTAAGGAGCTAAATATTTGTATTCTCCCCTAAGAAAATTCTAGTGACCTCTGCCACTTTATACAAGAAATGTCAGTTGGTCAATATGTTATAACGGTTGCATGAATATGATACCTTAGGCAGATTTGAAGATTCGATGTCTCTGCTTCCTTTAACAAAATAAGCTCTGTCATATGGAAAAAAAAAAAAAAAAAAAAAAAAAAAAAAAAAAAAACAAAAAAAAAAAAAACTACAAGATCAGTAATGTTAAAATATTGCTTTATAATGTTTTTTTTGTTTAAACTTCCTTATAAAGAATATATCTTTAATAACTTAGTTGATATGCACCATTTGCGCAAAAGGCTTTTATTATAATAAAATGGATTGTTTTGCTAATAGAATTAAAATATATACAAAAGATCAATAAAAAATGATTGCGGTAATGGCTCAATCTTTTCATTGGAAGTTGTGAATTTTACTGATACTGTATTTTTGAAGTTATAAATTCTTAAAACAAGTACATTCCAATTGAGTGGTAGCAACAAATTTGAAAAATAGGGCACCTTATAGTTTTATTCTGGGCATTAAAAGCATCACAATCACAATTTAGAAATATAATTTTCACGACTTCAAAATTATGTATCTTAAGGATTGATAATTTTTGCCCATTGAAATGATCTGTCCATTACCCCATCTTTTGACAATAAAAAAACTTTTGTCAAAAGTAAAACAAGCAAAGCCTACTAGTAGGAATTTTTTCATATCCCTGTGCTCTAAATATTGCTTAAAACTTCTCCATGTCTACTGCATAATATTTCTTGAATGAAGCAAGCCAAAATTTTTTCCAAACCCTCAAGACCCAACCCCCCTCAGGCAAAATACTCAAAATCTACCAGTTCTTTACCATTCCACCAGGGCACTGCCCACAGCATCCATAGGCTGCACTGGACTTTTCTGAGGAAATTCAGAACTATTTGCTTGGAAGCTTCCACTTCCACTGAAATAAGCACTTTCTTTTGAAAACTGATTCTGAAACATGTGACCTTGACCTTGGTGGTTACCAAGGGCACCAGTATTGCTTGCAACTGCGTTCTGATCTGATGCCTCATTGAATACGTCATCCTCTGCTTCATCGTCAAGAATGACTTCAATTCTGGTTTGTCCTACATCAACTGGAACTGGATCAGGGCGATCCTCTTCTAGTAATGGCCTCTCTGTGGACTCACTGCTCAAATCTTTTCTCCTGCCATCTACAACATCATGGCCACTAGGATCCTTTTTTTCAGATGGAGGTGGTAGACATAATTGCAGTTTTTTCCAGAACCTCTCATTTTTTTGTCTTTTGCTTTTCTTGCATATGTAGCGCCATCTACTTTTTGGTCTTTCTTCCCTCTCTGCATCAGGGTAATACTGGAGGCAATTTAAAAATGGCATTTTCAATACTTTTGGCAACAGTTGTGGGTTTTTGCAGTTTTTTATTTGAGTCTCTGCAAACCTGTTCCAATCATCAATATTTATTTCCCCAAAGATGACAAATATTATTCTGGTATGCTGGTTCAAAGCATTATCAATGAAGAAATCAAAATAATCAGGAACTGGATTGAGAAGTTCTGGAGAAATGAGGATGACATAACGTCGACACTCATCAAAAGCTTTGGTGAATTCTCTGTTTTCAGCTGAAAAAATGAAGGAAAAAGTCATGTAATGTATGGAGGCATTGTGTATAATGCATACATATTACCATGACACATCCTACTCAATACCACCACCTGCAGAGAAATACAGCATGAGAAATAACAAGGAAGTTTGATTATTATAATAAAAAGCAGTGGCGGATCCAGAGATATTTTCTGACAGTCTTCGAAATTATCTTTGTTGATCCAACCTCCACTTTTGACCGTCTTCTGACAGAAAAAAATAGATACCCGTCACTGTAAACTTGAAAATCTGACCGTCTTCCGGAAGACCCAGAAGACGGCCTAAATCCGCCCCTGAAAAGGGTAGACCTTTCAAGCCTCTCAGGCTATGGGCCTGAATAAAATTTTACACCATTAACCAATATTTATGGGGGACTGGTCAATATATTAACCAAGTCACATGTAAGAAGTAATCAAATGACTGATTGTTTCTGCTATAAACACATACTTACACTGAAATCCTAACACATCCTGGTCCAGTCTTACACTGTACCCTTCTTTCTCAAGCTTTTCCTTTAAAATGGTTTCAGCAAATTGTCTCTCATTGGTTGAATCAGGGCAGGTACAAATATAGATATCATCATGCCTATCAGCTTAAAAAACAAAAAACAAAAACATTTAGAGTTATCAATCATCAAACTCAAACAAAATTAACAAATACATAAAATTCCCCAAAATAACATTACTCTGTTGAATAGTATGCTTATTTAAAGATTTCCTCAAGTTTTGAAACTGAGAAAATGCAAAACAGGGGTTTGTGTCAATATAAGTACGTTCTTATATTAAGTCCATCTTTAGTAAACATTCACCAGTAGGTGTGAGAGTGAGAGTGAAATTCTGTTTTCTTTTGTTCAACATACCATCTGCATCCTTTTCCTTGAGCACCCTTATCTTAATGGACCTGTAACACAGTCTAAACTCTAGATTATATTTGACCCATATCAATGACACAATAATAAGCAGTAGGACCAGTGTTGTGGCAGGCACTATGCATATCCATATGGGAAATGGCATTTGGGGATTCTCCTCTGAAAGGAAATGAGGTAACGTAAGTCAGTGTGTCAACCAAACGTAAACAGAGAGAGAGAGAGTGTGTGTGTGTGTGTGTGTGTGTGAGAGAGAGAGAGAGAGAGAGAGAAAGGAAGAGGGAGACACTGAATAGATTCCCTGTGGGGATTACGCAACGAGCATTCAGGTGGTTTGGCCATAATTGATCAGCGGATCTGTTAGTCCCCAGTTCTAAATGCGCTCTTAGAAACNAGAGAGAGAGAGAGTGTGTGTGTGTGTGTGTGTGTGTGTGTGAGAGAGAGAGAGAGAGAGAAAGGAAGAGGGAGACACTGAATAGATTCCCCGTGGGGATTACGCAACGAGCATTCAGGTGGTTTGGCCATAATTGATCAGCGGATCTGTTAGTCCCCAGTTCTAAATGCGCTCTTAGAAACAAAAAGACTTGTGGAAGGGCTAAGCTATGCATGCAAGTCAGTGGTAAATGCCAACGCAGCCTACCTCCGTATTCCAGCCTCGCTTTGACCTCTGTACCCCTACCAATGCCATTAGACATTCTGCACATGTAGTCATCATAATCCCCCTCCTCTATGTCACTGATGGTAAAATTGGCCAGTAGAATATTATCTTCCTCTCTTGGATCAAAATGGAAAAAAAATGCATTTCAAGTTATCTGTTTTAAAAAATTATAAGGAATTGTCAAAAATATTTTTAATAGCCCAGAGCAAAAAGTTTTGTAAATAATATTGGCGTTGATACGTATTTCTAGAAATGTTCTTTATCACTTCTTCAGTGGTGTACTATTTGAGAGACTACTGCTTCAACAATATCTTTTTAATAATTTTGATCATGAGAATACAAACATTTTTAAATACTACAATTACGATATTAATATCAATCATTAGTCCTTCTTATGAAAATACGAGTGAGTACATGTAAATCTTACACCAAACTGATTGATATAATTTCATGATAAGTGGCCACACATTGTTTACCTCCCAGTTTGACTAATGGTTGTATATCTCTTTCACTCATTCATAAAAATTTAGCTACAAACTTTGCAGCATTGCTTGGAAGAATATGATACACAAGCACGGCAAGCAAAACATATTTTACCTTTTTGTTTCAGTTACACTGTACCTAGGCCCCCAAGCCGTTACTTCACGGATATGCCCACTAGTTTTGTTTTTACGTTGCCAGCGAATGTCATTAAACATTCCTAATGGGTCTCCAAAGAATCCTTCACATATGAAGGAAACATGCTGCCCATGTTTCCTTTTATGTACCAGCACTCCATCTGTCAGCCTCTGTTTGGGAGGTTGCATCTGAGCGGGCGGTTTGTTCCAGTTTCCACATTCTTAATAAAAGATGTACATAAACATGTGATTGCAATTCTGTTATTCCATTTGTAAACTCTGACCACATTAAAAATTATATTACAGCTGTCTAAAAATGTTCTCACTTATATTCTTATGTCCCTGCAAAGCTACTTTAACAATGCAGACTTAAAAAGGATTATTATACAAGTAAAACCCTCAGATTGAAGTACCTATAATGTAGACAACATTTCCTACTGAAATGTTCAGGAAAACTATGCATTCCAAACTTATCATGCATTGTTTAGAAATAATAATTCAATTACAAATGGTGCAAAACACTGAATCAGGGAAAGGACTGAACAATGATTTATGAGTAAGAGAAAACTGCTTTGTTCTTGAAGAAAAATTCAATTTGGCACACATGTTAATAAAGGGTCTTTTGTTGCTTTATGTACTTGTATGAATTCAGTATTTCTATAATTCAACTTAATAAAGGTCTTTTACTGCTTTACATACATGAATTCAGTATTGCTATTATGCATTTACCATTCAGGCATAAATGAACGAGTAAAAAAGAAATTAAAAAAAAATCACCATCTCACCTACTACTTTCAGCTCTATCTCGTGTTGCTTCTGGTCACCTGCATCATCACTTATTACGCACTTATACCTGCCGCTGCGATATTGGAGTGGAGGTTTCATGGCTAACGTGGTATTACTTCGTAGAAGCTGATATGGACAACCAACATCACATGTCCCTGTCTGGTCTGGTGGCGGAAATGAAATCCACTTTTCATTCTCCATCTTGAACCAGNGTTTTAGCAAATTGTCTCTCATTGGTTGAATCAGGGCAGGTACAAATATAGATATCATCATGCCTATCAGCTTTAAAAACAAAAAACAAAAACATTTAGAGTTATCAATCATCAAACTCAAACAAAATTAACAAATACATAAAATTCCCCAAAATAACATTACTTTGTTGAATAGTATGCTTATTTAAAGATTTCCTCAAGTTTTGAAACTGAGAAAATGCAAAACAGGGGTTTGTGTCAATATAAGTACGTTCTTATATTAAGTCCATCTTTAGTAAACATTCACCAGTAGGTGTGAGAGTGAGAGTGAAATTCTGTTTTCTTTTGTTCAACATACCATCTGCATCCTTTTCCTTGAGCACCCTTATCTTAATGGACCTGTAACACAGTCTAAACTCTAGATTATATTTGCCCCATATCAATGACACAATAATAAGCAGTAGGACCAGTGTTGTGGCAGGCACTATGCATATCCATATGGGAAATGGCATTTGGGGATTCTCCTCTGAAAGGAAATGAGGTAACGTAAGGCAGTGTGTAAACCAAACGTAAACAGAGAGAGAGAGAGAGAGAGTGTGTGTGTGTGTGTGTGTGTGTGTGTGAGAGAGAGAGAGAGAGAGAAAGGAAGAGGGAGACACTGAATAGATTCCCTGTGGGGATTACGCAACGAGCATTCAGGTGGTTTGGCCATAATTGATCAGCGGATCTGTTAGTCCCCAGTTCTAAATGCGCTCTTAGAAACAAAAAGACTTGTGGAAGGGCTAAGCTATGCATGCAAGTCAGTGGTAAATACCAACGCAGCCTACCTCCGTATTCCAGCCTCGCTTTGACCTCTGTACCCCTACCAATGCCATTAGACATTCTGCACATGTAGTCATCATAATCCCCCTCCTCTATGTCACTGATGGTAAAATTGGCCAGTAGAATATTATCTTCCTCTCTTGGATCAAAATGGAAAAAAATGCATTTCAAGTTATCTGTTTTAAAAAATTATAAGGAATTGTCAAAAATATTTTTAATAGCCCAGAGCAAAAAGTTTTGTAAATAATATTGGCGTTGATACTTTATTTCTAGAAATGTTCTTTATCACTTCTTCAGTGGTGTACTATTTGTGAGACTACTGCTTCAACAATATCTTTTTAATAATTTTGATCATGAGAATACAAACATTTTTAAATACTACAATTACGATATTAATATCAATCATTAGTCCTTCTTATGAAAATACAAGTGAGTACATGTAAATCTTACACCAAACTGATTGATATAATTTCATGATAAGTGGCCACACATTGTTTACCTCCCAGTTTGACTAATGGTTGTATATCTCTTTCACTCATTCATAAAAATTTAGCTACAAACTTTGCAGCATTGCTTGGAAGAATATGATACACTAGCAAGGCTAGCAAAACATATTTTACCTTTTTGTTTCAGTTACACTGTACCTAGGCCCCCAAGCCGTTACTTCACGGATATGCCCACTAGTTTTGTTTTTACGTTGCCAGCGAATGTCATTAAACATTCCTAATGGGTCTCCAAAGAATCCTTCACATATGAAGGAAACATGCTGCCCATGTTTCCTTTTATGTACCAGCACTCCATCTGTCAGCCTCTGTTTGGGGGGTTGCATCTGAGCGGGCGGTTTGTTCCAGTTTCCACATTCTTAATAAAAGATGTACATAAACATGTGATAGCAATTCTGTTATTCCATTTGTAAACTGTGACCACATTAAAAATTATACTACAGCTGTCTGAAAGTTATATTCTTATGTCCCTGCAAAGCTACTTTAACAGTGCAGACTTAAAAAGGATTATTATACCAGTAAAACCCTCAGATTGAAGTACCTATAATGTCGACAACATGTCCTACTGAAATGTTCAGGAAAACTATGCATTCCAAACTTATCATGCATTGTTAAGAAATAATAATTCAATTACAAATGGTGCAAAACACTGAATCAGGGAAAGGACTGAACAATGATTTGTGAGTAAGATAAAACTGCTTTGTTCTTGAAGAAAAATTCAATTTGGCACGCAAGTTAATAAAAGGTCTTTTGTTGATTTATGTACATGAATTCAATATTGCTATTATAATTCAACTTAATAAAGGATCTTTTACTGCTTTACATACATGAATTCAGTAATTCTATAATGCATTAACCATTCAGGCATAAATGAACGAGTAAAAAAGAAATTAAAAAAAAAATCACCATCTCACCTACTACTTTCAGCTCTATGTCGTGTTGCTTCTGGTCACCTGCATCATCACTTATTACGCACTTATACCTGCCGCTGCGATACTGGAGTGGAGGTTTCATGGCTAACGTGGTATTGCTTCGCAGAAGCTGAAATGGACAACCAACATCACACATCCCTGTCTGGTCTGGTGGCGGAAATGAAATCCACTTTTCATTCTCCATCTTGAACCAATGTAGTGTTTGGAAGCCAGCGGCACAGCAGTAGAGACGCTTGTTGTTATCAGTGCATGAATAGTCTAAGTTGCCTAATTCTCTGGTGAAACGGAGAGGGCCCTCTGAAATCACATCAAACAGAGATGGAATAAGTGTTTCAGCTTCAATATGAATTATAAGTAGAGAGCTGATGTCATGAACTAGTATATACTCCTATGAGAATTTGGCTGATGCTTGTATTTAATTTTAAATATAAGAGATGAATACATGAAGGAATTCTACTAATCTAACACCTTCACAGTACAGTATAAAGTACATTGTATAAATCACTGAATTAAATAAATAAACACAAAATGCACACATTTTGCAAAGTTGACAACAAGAGCTTCATATGTTTTACTTGAAAAGGGATAACTTTTATAAACTGACATTAGTACAGATTCTCACCAAATGAATGCTATGCTATGTTACCTATATACAACATACATTACCAGACCTACCTGTGACATCTACCTGAGGACAGTAGTAAAACTGCCCTGCCTCTGTAGATTGTATAAATACCAAGATGAAATACAGCAGCAAGAACTTCCCCATACTGATCACGCTTGAAAGAGATGAACATCAAGCACGCTATTATGCAAAACTTTGTCTGTTAATTATCAGACACATGTGTATGAATAAAATTTATGGACACAACTGTGTGAACTTAAACGAGGTCCTGGGTGGTGGGTATAAAGAGATATACGTTTGTCATTGGAAAAGATGGTTAGATCAGCTGTAAGTATAATCAATGTTAATGTTTAAGTACGTACATTAGTGTACATAAACTTGTTTAATATTACAGTAGGATACAGAAGAAGGAGCTCCTGCATCGCGGCTGATTTGGCAACTGGTCTTCATTACACAGAAGAAGGAGCTCCTGCATCGCGGCTGATTTGGCAACTGGTCTTCATTACACACTTTTTGATGCCTTGGCTTTCATGCGTTAACACAGTGTACATTGTAGTTATCAAAATCGGCAAAAGGAGTGTGCTGGGGGGGGGGGCGGGTAAACTTAACACACATTTACCTGTTATTTTCTCACCAGTAGATGACGTCAATTACTCCAAACTGGGACCACATATCTTTTAATTGAAGAAACCCAAAGATGACGAAAAAAAGCTTGTCCTACATGCCGGCCATGACACTCTTTTCACCACAACTTCCTCGAGTAAAAGTCATGTGAACCTAACTAGGTCACTTTAGATAGGGCGTGGCGCATGCCCAGATGAGTTATTTTATTATTTTCCGGTCTTCGTGGCAGGAGGCTACTAGTGCACTACTTGTGTTATGATGTCGTGTGGATTTTGACAGTCTAGTGGTGAAGTGATCGTGAGTGTTTCCTTTGTATTTATTAAAAGCAATAAGCCTCTATTTGGTATGATAGTGGCATTATAACTTATCCTAGATCGCACAAACCCGTAGGAAGTCGACTGCAAGCAGGGGTAATCCTAGAGAGGGGTAAGAAACGTCCATTGTTCTCGTCAGTGAGGCTAACCGAATTCAGGGTATGTACGCACAGACAGAAAACCATGTATTGTGGGAACGTTACTAATGAAGCCACTGGTAGTACCAGTAGATATCAGTCTGTAGTCTAGAACAAGCACCTCGTTGACGAGTGAACAGTTGTCAAAAACAAAAGACCCAGGTGTGGTAGATCGACTACTGTTCGCGCGTGCCGCAAAGACCAAGCCTAATTGCCCCTCAAGGTCACAAACTAATATCCGGTGCTGACGGTTAGGCTCGTCATAATCATATAAGTAGCGCGTTTCCACCCCCTGCTGCCACTAAAATTCTCCAGACTCGGTCGCATTTCAGCCTGAATGTGATAGCGTAACACATAAGGAGAACGCTTTGGGGACTCTTACGTTTTAAGATACTATCAATTAGTGACTGAAGCTATGATAAATATGAAATACATGCTAAAAGATAATTACAATGATGATATAAGTTTGGAAATAATTGCAACAAAAAAGTGCCATTGTTATTATTTAATGCTCCACAAAGCACAGAAGTATGGGAATCTAGCCCCATACTGTCAACATTTTTGTATGTTTTAACTGTGCATTCACCAGGTTGTCAAGTAGTCAGGACCCCTCCTGTCTGCAGGACCAAATTCCAATTTTGATTTCATAACACAGTTGTTGAAATATTTCTATTGTTTGTCATTGGTTTCAGAGCTATCATGGCAGGCAGGGAAGGGGAAGGGACTCCCCCCAAGGGTGGAGCAGCCGGGGGCAAGGTAGGTTACCTTAGACTGCGTTCTTTCTTATAACCTTTTCATACTAGCAGAACCAATCTATCTCAGCAGGGATTCTTTCTAATGCACAGTCAGTGTACTCATCTTAACTGTCTGGCACATCCAACAACATCATGGATGACAAAGTTTTCCTGACTTTACTCAAGTACTATATGATATATAATATATAAGGGGGCATACCAGGCATTTAAGCCATTTAAACTGAATGCAATTTAGCGAGGATCCCCGAGGAGTTCTAAATGACTGACCAGTCACTTAATTAGTCTTCGTGGCATTTTAGATGGAAATATTAATCAGGTACTTTAGTTTATAATTAATTGATTTAATTAAAATCTATCAAATCACTTAATGTGGGCTTTACAGCAAGTAGTTGTTTCATTGAACCTCATTATGTGTGTCAATTTCTTCGATTTTTTTTCAGCTTGAGAGCCTTCCCAGAGAGGACCTCATAAAGTTTGTCAAGAAACAAACAATGATTCTCCAGAAGACCAAGGCTAAATGTGACGGTAAGACCACCTAGGCAATGATTTCAAGAACTGATATTTATTGGATGCAAGGAGCAAGAGCAAATCTGGAAGTCCTTGCAGTCTGTTTCATAATATTTTTCATGCAATGACTTGTTTTGAAATTCTTCCTTACAATTATTATGTAAAGTATTTTATGTGGATTACAGAGCTGAGCAAAAAAGTTGAAAGTTTGGAAAAAGAGAAAGAAAATTTGCCAACAGAGGGAGCTGGTGATGCTACTGCTGCTGCAGAAAAGATAAAGGTGTGTCTTTTCTTTTATTTGTTATATTTACTATCCTTTTTTTAAAATAAAAAATGGATAGACAGATAGTTTAATACTATTATAGTCTGAGCATTCAGTAACACTTAAACCCTATCCATGCAAGTTAATTTAGGGGCTGGATAGTTATGGTCAATTTATTATTGTCTGTGTAATCATGGGAGTTGAATACATCAGTATATTTAATTTGAAGTGTCTTTTATTTGATAGGAGTTAGAACAAACCGTCCAGGATCTTCAGTCGGAGAGGGAGGAGACCATTGCAGCCTACAATGCTGCACAGCAATCACAAGAAAAGGCCGCAGGAAAGATTAAGGTATTTAGAAACTCAGGAAACACTGCTATCAGGAATCTAGCAAAGACTTATGTCAAATGTGTTTTCTCAGGTACAGGGTCCAGCAGTCTTTGGAATTATAGGTCATCTTGTGAGGCTTGGAGTCGTCTAAATGACAGTTAGGCAGGTATCTAGGGAAAGCCATGAGCAAAATGTTCATTGACAAAAAAATAAGACTCGAGAAACAGTGACCAAGATGTTGGAACCCAAGATTTTTAAAAATGTAAAATAAAATGTTATTGTTGTTAACAAATGCAGCCTCTCATCAGAACAGCATTCTGTATGGTGGTTTATTTCCTTGCAGGAGATGGAAGAACAGCTGGAGTGTATGAAGATGAAGGATGAAACACTGACCTCATCGTTTCAGTTCATGCAAGAAGAGCAGAATAAGATTATGAAGGAAAACCAGGTATTGAATGTTTTCTGGGTGAATAAAATTGATATGATGCTGCTGTGAAAGAAATTGAAGCATTTGCTGAGTACTGATATAGATAAATTAAATGTAATTCTTATTATTAAGGTCAATGTGAGATATTTATCATGATGATATCCAATAAAATATTTTCGTTAATTTTATGTATTAAAAGAAGTATTTCCTTTTGAATTTTTGATGTCATTGTTTTGAAACTGCAGCAAGAAAAAGTGGAAATGCTAGAGAAAGAGAACCAGGTTGGCATGAGTCTGTGTTTAGTTCGTTTAATTTTGTCAGGGTTAAGTAAGGAGTGGATGGGGTTTCTTTCTTTCTTTTTTTTTTTAATTTGATTGACATGTGGTGATGGAATAACTGTGCAAATGGCAGGTGTTTTATTGTATATTGGGTATTATGATTTATTTGACTCCCAACTGTGTCATACCAAATCTACAACCAAGGGTTGAAAATCAACAAAGCAGAAATAATCTTAAGTTTTAGTTTAAAAACTTACTCAAGATTTTTTTGGTTAGTGGGGGCCCAGCAAAGGCCATTTACCTGAGGTACCTTATAACTCAATTTTCCTTTATGTACTACAGGTTTTTTTCATTGGTATGAGCTGAAATTGATATGATTATGAATATTTCCTACCTCATACATGTAACTTGGACAAATTTTCTGGTCCCAGGATATTTGAGTTTACTGTACTGTAAACTGTAAATATCCACCTGCAGGTGTTTTTTTCCATCAATATTAACAAATAGATAAATAATATTTCATTAGTGTGATAACATATGTATTCCAGGATCTGAAGGATTGGGACTGTAAACAAATAGATATATAATATTTAAATCAGTGTGAAAGTATATGAACTCCAGGATCTGAAGGACCAGGGCTATAAACAAATAGACCTATAATATTTAATTAATGTGGTATATATGAATATATGTATATATGTATTCCAGGACCTTAAGGACCAGGTAGCCGTCCTGTCCAATGCCAGAGATGAGGTATTGAACTCTCTGAAGGTGATAAAGCAGCAGGGAGATGGTGACAGGGAGGAGTTGAAACAGAGGCTGGAAAAGATGGCGGCTGAGAAGGAGGAAGTACAGCGCCAAATAGAGGAGTTGCAGGAAGAGCTCAAGGTGAGATGAGCATTTTCTATTTGATTTTACGTGTACATACAAAAGACAAAACTTTATAAAAGATAATTGGGTTCTACTAAGTTTGCGTAAAACAGTCAGATAGTTTTCTTGTAAACTCAATAGTTAGTTAAAGACCATTTTCTCCTCCCAACCATAGGCTCGAAAAGAAATAAGGCATTAACAGTTTAGTTGTATCAGTCCTTTCATTATGAAAATCACCGTTGGCGTTATATCAGCAGATCAAATATGTGGACCCATTTAAAAGCTTGCCGCTCAATTCCCCAATTCGGCACTAAATAGAATACCCCAGGGATTATGCAGCAAGCATTCCGGTGGGTCTGCCATGATCTGGTAGTGCGCTGTTCTGAATGCACTTTATGAAAGTCGTCTTTGTGTAAATTTCAGACTAAGACTGCGGAGATAGCCAGGCTGACTACAGAGGGTGCAGAAAGTTCAGCACTGAAGGAACAGCTTGCACAGTTGACAGCAGCAGCAGAACCCCTTAAGGCTGAGAGAGACGCTTTGCAAGAACAGGTGTGAAAACTTTCTAGTTCAGCTATTGATATGGGCCATTCTTTGCAGTTGAAAATACCAGAACATGTATTATTATGGGCTATTTTACAGTATTTTTCCTCTGTATAACATCATTTCATCTCCCAGCCACTTTTATCCTAACAAATTTATTTCCAAGGAGTTAAGATGTAGGCATATTGCTTTCTATCTATCTTTTTTTCATGTCATTAGGAATGTTGAAAAAATTTCACACAAACATTTGTGAAAAATATGAAAATATTGCTTATTTTTTAGGTGATGAAGAAATGTGAAGAACTTGAAGACTATGCACAGGCTCTTCAGAAAGTGAAGGCTGAAAAGGAACAGCTTGGCAAGGATTTCGCTCTGTTCCAGACTTCCAGTGGGGGGTTCCAGGAACAGCTTGGGGAGGTAACTCGCTTGCTGGAAGGAATGCAGGAAGAAAGAAAAAGGATGGAAGGAGAGAGAGACGAGATGGAGAAGGAACAACACAGGTAATAATATGCAACAAACTTTTATTTAGCTATTATATGGGTTTAAAGGTGGTAAATTCTGTCAGTGTGCTATTTTGTAACCTTTTCTTGTCACCAAATGTAACGTTGAAAATCATTGTTTTTAGCCACAGGTAAATATTCAAGAGGATTCCATTTTCTAAAACAAATCACTCCAATCCTAAATTAGCTTTGCTTTGGTATAAAATTAATTATTTTTTCTACAAATGACCGGCAGAGGAAGGTAGAAAAGATAAAATATTTGGTTATCCTTGTTTTCCTTGGTTAAGTGACATTAAATGCAGCAGCAAAAGCCGTAGTAGTAAGAATCTTTCATCACAGAAACTTGTCTATAAATGCATAAAACTTTCGTTGACCCTGTTGTTTTTCTATCAGGCTGCAAGACTGGATACAAAGAGACCAATTAGAAATCAAAGAACTGAAGTCAAAGGTTGAGAAATTAACCAGTGAGAAAGACCAACTCAAGACTCAATTAGAAGAGAAATTAACAGATGTTAAGTCTGAGAGGGATCAGCTCAAAAATGAACTCGGCAATCTTCAGTCGAGCTCTGGTGATTCTGAAGTTAAGGTTGCAGAGCTACAGACCCTGTGTGAAAAATTAAATGATGAAAACTGCAAGCTTAATGCTCAGGTTGAAGAGGCATCTGGCCGTGAATCATCACTTAAAGAAGAAAACTGTCAGCTAAATGCTGCATTAAGTGAACTGCAGGCTGAAAAGCAGTCTTTGGTGGATGAACTGAGTTCTCATTCTAGTCAGAAGGATGATGAAGTCAAAGCTTCTGGTCTGAGGATAACAGAGCTTGAAGAACAGTTGGAGATTTGCAAGAAGGAGATTAGTGAATGGCAGCAAACTACAGAACAGGCTAAAGAAGCCGAGAGACAAACAAAAGAAGAATTTGTTAAAGAAAAAGCTTCCTGGGAGGAGACGGAAAAACAGCTGAAAACTGAAAACAACAGACTTTTATCTGATCTGCAGGAAAAACAAGATGGCAGAACCGAGACCGAGCAGGAACTGATGAGCCTGCGCCAGGAAAGAGAAACGCTCGTGAAAGCAGTCAACATACTCAAAGAAGAAATCGAAAAAATCAAAGAGCGAGAAACCGGGATAGAAGAGGAAGTTACCCAGTTAAAGGAGGAAAGGGAAATGCTGAACTTGGAGCTCCACAGTGCTCAAGAGAAACTCAATGAGTGGGAGCACATGATTCAGATGCTCAAAGACGACAAGGAGAGGGTCATTCAAGAACTCGTAGATGCAGAGGAAAGGGAGCGTAGCTGTGCCCAGGAGATCGAGGAAGCTATGAATTCACTCAACGAAGCTCTGAATGAGAGAGATAATCTTAGAGAAGAGGTGGTACGCATGAGTGAAAGCACAGGGAACGTGACAAGTGAAATCAGTTATCTGCGGCAGATGATAGATGAAGTTTTGACAGAAAAGAGCAAAATGCAAGCAAGAATTGATGAACTTTTGGAGAAAGCAGGTGAGGGGGAGAGACCAGAAACTTTGAGAGATATGGTAGGTTTAGCTCTGGATCCAATACAAGAACACACAGACGAAGGAGATGGAAGTGAGGAGCCACAACCAGAGGGCAGCACATCAGTTCAAGCAGACGGCAGTAACCAAGAAGTTCCAAGGGATCAGCTCTCTTTGTTGAAGGATGCCGAAATGATATTAATGCAGAAAGTAGATGATTTAACAGAGAGGTTGGAAGCATTAGAGCAAGAAAAACAGGAATTGTTGAGGCAATTGCAATCAGGTTCACAGCTCACAGATTCTGGTCATATGCAATATTGTGATGCTGAACAGCAGACTGACTTCACTACTAGTCAAGACAATCTTGCTGAGCAAGTTGAATTACTGAAAGATTCTGAAGGAAAACTTATTGATAAAATAAATGACTTAACTGAACAGCTTGAAAGTGTTATTACAGAAAAAGAAGGGTTAAAAGCACAGATTACAACAATGAAAGAGCAACAGCAGACGAGCAGTACAGAGAAAGAGTTGGAAGAAAGCAGGGCACAGGTTATTGTGTTGGATTCCCAATTGAAGGCCGTAAAAAATAGATTTCAGGAAATGGAGCAGGAGAAATCTGAACTACTGTCATCTAAAATCCAAGACTATGAATCAGTTAAGGCAGAAAAAGACAACATGGCTGTTATCATTGATCAGATGAAACAAGAGCTGGGATTGGTCAAAGAAGAGAATTTGACGAGGGAGCAGCAACTGGTAACCACACAAGAAAGACTTTCGATGTTACAGTCAGAATTTGAAAGTGAAATTGAGAGAATGAAAGGGGAGTTGTCGCAGAGAGCTGATCAGATAACTTTACTGGAGAATCAGCTCTCCGAGAGTAAAGAGCAGGTTTCGTCTGAGGGACAGCAACTTCAACAAGAAATTCAGAAGATAAAAACTGAGAAAGAAGAGGTTGAAGAAAAATACCAGACTGAAATGTCAGAGAAAAAACAAGAAATTGCAGAAATTCAACAGACTCTTTCAAATACCCAAAATGAATTTGAGGTATTTCAGGGTAAGATGCAAGAGATTACAGAAAGGAGCTCAGTTTTGCAGACGGAAATTGATGAATGTAGGTCATCTATTGAAAAACTGACCAATGAGAAGAAGGAACTTATGACCCAGCTTAGCGATGTTCAGAAGGAAAGGAATGATCTTAAAAGTATGGTGGAAACTTTAAAAGAAGGATCATCGGATTCTGCTCAGGAATTAGTTCATAGTCAGGAAATGGTCTCTCAGTTGGAACTGGAAAAAGAAAAACTTAGTGCTCAGCTACAAGAATTCCAAACAGCAAAGGAAGGATTACAGGAGAAATTGGAAGAAGCACAGAAGGATTTATCTGAAAAGAATGCAAAGCTTGAGAAATTTATGCATGAAGTTCAGGAATTTAATGGTGTTATTTCTGAGCTGAATGAGAAACTTGATTCAAAAGAGGAGAAGCTAAAAACATCTGCTCAAGAACTGGATCTTACTAAACAAAAGATTCAGGAAATGGAAGAGAACATGGAACGAACTCTGGCAGAAAAGATAGGTGAAATAGAAAACCAAGCCTGTTTAAGAGAGCAGATGGAAAGCAAGTTACAAGAAGCCAGAGAAATGATTGAAAAACTTAACCAGGAAAAGTATGTGGATGTTTTAAAAATTGCCAACGAAAAAGAAGTTTTGGAGCAGCATTTTGCAGAACTTAAAGCAAATTATGAACACCTACAGCAGGACATGACTACCAAAGATGCTCAGTTACTGGAAATGCAACAAAAACACGAGACAGACTTTGCAAACAAAATGGCAGCAGAAGAGTCAAAAGAAGAAGAATTGAAGCAACAACATGCACAGATGCTGGAAGAGAGTCAAAGAAGAATAAACGAGCTCCAAGAGGCAATAAGGGAACTGGAAAAGGAAAGTGCTGATTTAAAAGAGCAGCTGAAGCAGGGAGAAGAAGCCAGGGAGAAACTACAAGGAGAAAAGCAGGATTTGATTGTTCAGATGCAAGATATAAAGAAAAGGGAAGTGGAAATCCAACAGAGAGCAGAGGTAAGTACAGATGATGATAACTAATCAAACTGAATGAAAGATTTGGTTAATTTTTTGTTGTAGCATGTTATATGGAAGTGATGTTTCTATTTTATTATACATTTTTATGGAGTGGGTACAAAGTATCAAAATGTTAAGTTTATTGTTGGTCATATTGATTTTGATTGGTCATATTGAATTACTTCATCAGGTCAACTTTAATATTTTTAGTAACCTTGTTTTAAGACTTCAGACAAAACAGAAGAACTTTTCATCTCAAACCTACAAATTGTGTAAATATAGTAAATAAAATTCATAAAAAAGAAAGATTTTAATCTTGACAGAATAATGAGGAAACTTGGATTTATCACAAAGATGGGTTAACTTGAGGTATCTTGTTTCTTGCTTCAGATGGAAGACAACGAGAGAGTCAGTGAACTTGAGAAGAAGCTGGCGGAGACACAGGCTGCTGTGAAGTCAAATGAAGAGAAGTCCAACAAGTTCAAAATCTTGGCTGTCAAAGGGAAGAAAGAGACTGCTGAACTGAAGAAACAAGTAAGATTAATTATGTATGATGAAAAGACTAATTAGAAGATGCCCTTTTCTTATCCTTTGTGAATTGTTTGCAATTGAATTATCCGAACAAAGAATTTGACAGGAGGTAGAAATTCAGTTTAATCTGATATAAAAATACCTCTCATGCAAGACAAAAACTTTTGTCAACAGGTTGATGATTTGAACTCCAAGACAACCAGTCTTCAGGCAGAGAAGGCGGAGTTAGAACAGCAAGTGATACGGGCACAGGAGCATGCTGGGATTGCTGAAGAAGTGGACAAACTGAAGGCTGAATGCGAGAGGTGTGTATTAGGCCTTTTTCACATTGGGCTTTATACATTAGTGGCACAGTTTGTACTGGTAAGCTTAGAGAGAGATAGACACTTTAATAGCCTGACTGTCATATATGATAGTCACTTAAATAGAACTTCTTTGCTTGGCCAATTAATGGATTCTGCATGCACGCACACACACACACAAAGAAAAAAAAAAAAAAAAAATTCAGCATTCTTTTCCCAATTTGTATTATCCATGTAATTTGTTTTAAATGGAAAGAAAAGCAAAGAAAAACAAATCAACATTTCAACAATTTTTACCCAATATCTGTAATCCTCATAAATTATTTACAACCCCTCTTCCCAGATTGAGTGCCCTGTATGACAAAGAGCAGGAGAGGTCCACAGCCCACGCCAAGGACCTGGAGACCACCATAGGCGAACTCACAGAGCTGAAAGCCACAGTGGCGGACACCAAGGAGGAGAAGGAGAGACTGAACAAGGAGATAGAGAGACTGGTGGATGACAAGAAGGTAAGATGGATGGGGGGAACGTCTGCTTTAAGGAAAGAGATTGAAATGAAGAAAATATTGGAAAAATAACAAGTCGGGAGGAAATTGCATCAGTCATTTGCAGTTAATTAAAAGATTTCACATTTATGTCATGAATTCATAACATCTGTTTATGATATGATGAATAAAATAATTGATTAATTGTAAAAGATAACTTGAAATGAATATATTTATATACAGTTTGTATATATTGCTGGTACTTGTAGAGGGAACAATGCTCTGGTTCTTTGGAGTAATATTTACCACAAAATTTTACTTCTTTCAGGGGCTTGATGCTCAAATCACTGACATGTCCAATGAGCTGAAAGAGTTAAATAAGAATAGGAACGCTGAGAGGATGATGACAGACGAGATTGTGCAAGAAAAGCAACAGGTGTGCGATGTTGTTTAATCACAGTTCAAGTTGAATTTTATATGCTTTAGACCAATAATTTGAGAAATTGTTCCACCACTTCTGCAATTGTCCAGTTAAAGGAAGATGCATAGAATAAAAATTGCAAACTGTATAATGAAACTGGAGTTTATGTTGGTAATGATGTCGCACGAAGGAGATGTGTTGTTATTATGATACATTTGCTAATAAGTGCATATTGTACTGACATTGAAAGATGGAATTAAAATATTTAATTAACTAACATTTTAAATAGAAAAGTAAAAACAAAATATTTAATTAGGTTACATTTTGAATTGTGCTTTTCTTTTTAAGTTGATGGAAAAGCTAGCAGAACAACAGAGAGAAAGTGAAGAGGAAAAAGAAAAGCACAAAGCAGAACTGCAAAAGTTGCAAACTGAACTAGACAACAACAAACAGCGGCTACAGGACGCAGTCAGGGTAAATGATTAATTTCTAAGACACATGGCTTATCAGACTGCTTATTTCCTACAACTGCATTCAGATTGGTATTTTGTAAGTTGTAAAACCCACTGTTTTATGCAATTGTAACTTAAAGGATATAATTGCAAGTAGTTAACAAATATCTCATTGAACCTTGCAGCAGATATGTTTACAATTCTCTCTCTCTCTCTCTCTCTCTCTCTCTCTCTCTCTCTCTCTCTCTCTCTCTCTNGGAGTCGTCTAAATGACAGTTAGGCGGGTATCTAGGGAAAGCCATGAGCAAAATGTTCATTGACAAAAAAATAAGACTCGAGAGACAGTGACCAAGATGTTGGAACCCAAAATTTTTAAAAATGTAAAATAAAATGTTATTGTTGTTAACAAATGCAGCCTCTCATCAGAACAGCATTCTGTATGGTGGTTTATTTCTTTGCAGGAGATGGAAGAACAGCTGGAGTGTATGAAGATGAAGGATGAAACACTGACCTCATCGTTTCAGTTCATGCAAGAAGAGCAGAATAAGATTATGAAGGAAAACCAGGTATTGAATGTTTTCTGGGTGAATAAAATTGATATGATGCTGCTGTGAAAAAAGTTGAAGCATTTGATGAGTATTGATATAGATAAATTAAATGTAATTCTTATTATTAAGGTCAATGTGAGATATTTATCATGATGATGATATCCAATAAAATATTTTCGTTAATTTTATCAATTAAAAGAAGTACTTCCTTCTGAATTTTTGATGTCATTGTTTTGAAACTGCAGCAAGAAAAAGTGGAAATGCTAGAGAAAGAGAACCAGGTTAGCACGAGTCTGTGTTTAGTTTGTTTAATTTGGTCAAGGTTAAGAAAGAAGTGGATGGGGTTTCTTTCTTTCTTTTTTTTTAAATTTGATTGACATGTGGTGATGGAATAACTGTGCAAATGTCAGGTGTTTTATTTTATATTGGGTATTTTGATTTATTTGACTCCCAACTGTGTCATACTAAATCTACCACCAGAGGTTGAAAATCAACAAAGCAGAAACTGCCAGAGCTTCATTTCACAAAATAATCTTAAGTTTTAGTTAAAAAACTTACTCAAGATTTTTTTGGTTAGTGGGGCCCAGCAAAGGCCATTTACCTGAGGTACCTTATAACTCAATTTTCCTTTATGTACTTCAGGTTTTTTTCATTGGTATGAGCTGAAATTGATATGATTATGAATATTTCCTACCTCATACATGTAACTTGGACAAATTATCTGGTCCCAGGATATTTGAGTTTACTGTACTGTAAACTGTAAATATCCACCTGCAGGTGTTTTTTTTCCATCAATATTAACAAATAGATAAATAATATTTCATTAGTGTGATAACAGGATGTATTCCAGGATCTGAAGGATTGGGACTGTAAACAAATAGATATATAATATTTAAATCAGTGTGATAGTATACATACTCCAGGATCTGAAGGACCAGGGCTATAAACAAATAGACCTATAATATTTAATTAATGTGGTATATATGAATATATGTATATATGTATTCCAGGACCTTAAGGACCAGGTAGCTGTCCTGTCCAATGCCAGAGATGAGGTCCTGAACTCTCTGAAGGTGATAAAGCAGCAGGGAGATGGCGACAGGGAAGAGTTGAAACAGAGGCTGGAAAAGATGGGGGCTGAGAAGGAGGAAGTACAGCGCCAAATAGAGGAGTTGCAGGAAGAGCTCAAGGTGAGATGAACATTTTCTAATTGATTTTACGTGTACATGCAAAAGACAAAACTTAATAAAAGATAATTGGGTTCTACTTAGTTTGCGTAAAACAGTCAGATAATTTTCTTGTAAACTCAATAGTTAGTGAAAGACCATTTTGTCCTCCCAACCATAGGCTTGAAAAGAAATAAGGCATTAACAGTTTAGTTGTATCAGTCCTTTCATTATGAAAATCACCGTTGGCGTTATAACGGCGGATCAAATATGTGGACCCATTAAAAAGCTTGCTGCTCAATTCCCCAATTCGGCACTAAATAGAATACCCCAGGGATTATGCAACAAGCATTCCGGTGGGTCTGCCATGATCTGGTAGTGCCCTGTTCTGAATGCACTTTATGAAAGTTGTCTTTGTGTAAATTTCAGGCAAAGACTGCGGAGATAGCCAGGCTGACTACAGAGGGTGCAGAAAGTTCAGCACTGAAGGAACAGCTTGCACAGTTGACAGCAGCAGCAGAACCCCTTAAGGCTGAGAGAGACGCTTTGCAAGATCAGGTGTGAAAACTTTCTAGTTCATCTATTGATATGGGCCATTCTTTGCAGTTGAGAATACCAGAACATGTATTATTATGGGCTATTTTACAGTATTTTCCCTCTGTATAACATCATTTCATCTCCCAGCCACTTTTATCCTAACAAATTTATTTCCAAGGAGTTAAGATGTAGGCATATTGCTTTCTATCTATCTTTTTTTCATGTCATTAGGAATGTTGAAAAAATTTCACACAAACATTTGTGAAAAATATGAAAATATTGCTTATTTTTTAGGTGACGAAGAAATGTGAAGAACTCGAAGACTATGCACAGGCTCTTCAGAAAGTGAAGGCTGAAAAGGAACAGCTTGGCAAGGATTTCGCTCTGTTCCAGACTTCCAGTGGGGGGTTCCAGGAACAGCTTGGGGAGGTAACTCGCTTGCTGGAAGGGATGCAGGAAGAAAGAAAAAGGATGGAAGGAGAGAGAGACGAGATGGAGAAGGAACAACACAGGTAATAATATGCAACAAACTTTTATTTAGCTATTATATGGGTTTAAAGGTGGTAAATTCTGTCAGTGTGCTATTTTGTAACCTTTTCTTGTCACCAAATGTAACGTTGAAAATCATTGTTTTTAGCCACAGGTAAATATTCAAGAGGTTTCCATTTTCTAAAACAAATCACTCCAATCCTAAATTAGCTTTGCTTTGGTATAAAATTAATTATTTTTTTCTACAAATGACCGGCAGAGGAAGGTACAAAAGATAAAATATTTGGTTATCCTTGTTTTCCTTGGTTAAGTGACATTAAATGCAGTAGCAAAAGCCGTAGTAGTAAGAATCTTTCATCACAGAAACTTGTCTATAAATGCATAAAACTTTCGTTGACCCTGTTGTTTTTCTATCAGGCTGCAAGACTGGATACAAAGAGACCAATCAGAAATCAAAGAATTGAAGTCAAAGGTTGAGAAATTAACCAGTGAGAAAGACCAACTCAAGACTCAATTAGAAGAGAAATTAACAGAAGTTAAGTCTGAGAGGGATCAGCTCAAAAATGAACTCGGCAATCTTCAATCCAGCTCTGGTGATTCTGAAGTTAAGCTTGCAGAGCTACAGACCCTGTGTGAAAAATTAAATGATGAAAACTGCAAGCTTAATGCTCAGGTTGAAGAGGCGTCTGGCCGTGAATCATCACTTAAAGAAGAAAACTGTCAGCTAAATGCTGCATTAAGTGAACTGCAGGCTGAAAAGCAGTCTTTGGTGGAAGAACTGAGTTCTCATTCTAGTCAGAAGGATGATGAAGTCAAAGCTTCTGATCTGAGGATAACAGAGCTTGAAGAACAGTTGGAGATTTGCAAGAAGGAGATTAGTGAATGGCAGCAAACTACAGAACAGGCTAAAGAAGCCGAGAGACAAACAAAAGAAGAATTTGTTAAAGAAAAAGCTTCCTGGGAGGAGACGGAAAAACAGCTGAAAACTGAAAACAACAGACTTTTATCTGATCTGCAGGAAAAACAAGATGGCAGAACCGAGACTGAGCAGGAACTGACGAGCCTGCGCCAGGAAAGAGAAACGCTCGTGAAAGCAGTCAACATACTCAAAGAAGAAATCGAAAAAATCAAAGAGCGAGAAACCGGGATAGAAGAGGAAGTTACCCAGTTAAAGGAGGAAAGGGAAATGCTGAACTTGGAGCTCCACAGTGCTCAAGAAAAACTCAACGAGTGGGAGCACATGATTCAAATGCTCAAAGACGACAAGGAGAGGGTCATTCAAGAACTCGTAGATGCAGAGGAAAGGGAGCGTAGCTGTTCTCAGGAGATTGAAGAAGCTATGAATTCACTCAACGAAGCTCTGAATGAGAGAGACAATCTTAGAGAAGAGGTGGTACGCATGAGTGAGAGCACAGGGAACGTGACAAGTGAAATCAGTTATCTGCGACAGATGATAGATGAAGTTTTGACAGAAAAGAGCAAAATGCAAGCAAGAATTGATGAACTTTTGGAGAAAGCAGGTGAGGGAGAGAGACCAGAAACCTTGAGAGATATGGTAGGATTAGCTCTGGATCCAATACAAGAACACACAGACGAAGGAGATGGAAGTGAGGAGCCACAACCAGAGGGCAGCACATCAGTTCAAGCAGACGGCAGTAGCCAAGAAGTTCCAAGGGATCAGCTCTCTTTGTTGAAGGATGCCGAAATGATATTAATGCAGAAAGTAGATGATTTAACAGGGAGGTTGGAAGCATTAGAGCAAGAAAAACAAGAATTGTTGAGGCAATTGCAATCAGGTTCACAGCTCACAGATTCTGGTCACATGCAATATTGTGATGCTGAACAGCAGACAGATGTCACTACTAGTCAAGACAATCTTGCTGAGCAAGTTGAATTACTGAAAGATTCTGAAGGAAAACTAATTGATAAGATAAATGACTTAACTGAACAGCTTGAAAGTGTTATTACGGAAAAAGAAGAGTTAAAAGTACAGATTACAACGATGAAAGAGCAACAGCAGTTGAGCAGCACAGAGAAGGAGTTGGAAGAAAGCAGGGCACAGGTTATTGTGTTGGATTCCCAACTGAAAGCTGTAAAAGAAAGATTTCAGGAAATGGAGGAGAAGTCTGAACTGCTGTCATCTAAAATCCAAGACTATGAATCAGTTATGGCAGAAAAAGACAACATGGCTGTTACTATCGATCAGATGAAACAAGAGCTGGGATTGGTCAAAGAAGAGAATTTGACGAGGGAGCAGCAACTGGTAACCACACAAGAAAGACTTTCGATGTTACAGTCAGAATTTGAAAGTGAAATTGAAAGAATGAAAGGGGAGTTGTCGCAGAGAGCTGATCAGATAACTTTTCTGGAGAATCAGCTCTCCGAGAGTAAAGAGCAGGTATCGTCTGAGGGACAGCAACTTCAACAAGAAATTCAGAAGTTAAAAACTGAGAAAGAAGAGGTCGAAGAAAAATACCAGACTGAAATGGTGGAGAAAAAACAAGAAATTGCAGAAATTCAGCAGACTCTTTCAAATACCCAAAATGAATTTGAGGTATTTCAGGGCAAGATGCAAGAGATTACAGAAAGGAGCTCAGTTTTGCAGACGGAAATTGATGAATGTAGGTCATCTATTGAAAAACTGACCAATGAGAAGAAGGAACTTATGACCCAGCTTAGCGATGTTCAGAAGGAAAGGAATGATCTTAAAAGTATGGTGGAAACTTTGAAAGAAGGATCATCCGATTCTGCTCAGGAATTAGTTCATAGTCAGGAAATGGTCTCTCAGTTGGAACTGGAAAAAGAAAAACTTAGTGCTCAGCTGCAAGAATTCCAAACAGCAAAGGAAGGATTACAGGAGAAATTGGAAGAAGCACAGAAGGATTTATCTGAAAAGAATGCAAAGCTTGAGAAATTTATGCATGAAGTTCAGGAATTTAATGGTGTTATTTCTGAGCTGAATGAGAAACTTGATTCAAAAGAGGAGAAGCTAAAAACATCTGCTCAAGAACTGGATCTTACTAAACAAAAGATTCAGGAAATGGAAGAGAACATGGAACGAACTCTGGCAGAAAAGATAGGTGAAATAAAAAACCAAGCCTGTTTAAGAGAGCAGATGGAAAGCAAGTTACAAGAAGCCAGAGAAATGATTGAAAAACTTAACCAGGAAAAGTATGTGGATGTTTTAAAAATTGCCAACGAAAAAGAAGTTTTGGAACAGCATTTTGCAGAACTTAAAGCAAATTATGAACACCTGCAGCAGAACATGACTACCAAAGATGCTCAGTTACTGGAAATGCAACAAAAACATGAGATAGACTTGGCAAACAAAATGGCAGCCAAAGAGTTAAAAGAAGAAGAATTGAAGCAACAACATGCACAGATGCTGGAAGAGAGTCGAAGAAAAATAAATGAGCTACAAGAGGCAATAAGGGAACTGGAAAAGGAAAGTGATGATTTAAAAGAGCAGCTGAAGCAGGGAGAAGAAGCCAGGGAGAAACTACAAGGAGAAAAGCAGGATTTGATTGTTCAGATGCAAGATATAAAGAAAAGGGAAGTGGAAATCCAACAGAGAGCAGAGGTAAGTAGAGATGATGATTGCTAATCAAACTGAATGAAAGATTTGGTTAATTTTTTGTTGTAGCATGTTATATGGAAGTGATGTTTCTATTTTATTATACATTTTTATGGAGTGGGTACAAAGGATCAAAATGTTAAGTTTATGGTTTGTCATATTGATTTTGATTGGTCATATTGAATTACTTCATCAGGTCAACTTTAATATTTTTAGTAACCTTGTTTTAAGACTTCAGACAAAACAGAATAACTTTTCATCTCAAACCTACAAATTGTGTAAATAGAGTAAATAAAATTCATAAAAAAGAAAGATTTTAATCTTGACAGAATAATGAGGAAACTTGGATTTATCACCAAGATGGGTTAACTTGAGGTATCTTGTTTCTTGCTTCAGATGGAAGACAACGAGAGAGTCAGTGAACTTGAGAAGAAACTGGCAGAGACACAGGCTGCTGTGAAGTCAAATGAAGAGAAGTCCAACAAGTTCAAAATCTTGGCTGTCAAAGGGAAGAAAGAGACTGCTGAACTGAAGAAACAAGTAAGATTAATTATGTTTGATGAAAAGACTAATTAGAAGATGCCCTTTTCTTATCCTTTGTGAATTGTTTGCAATTGAATTATCTGAACAAAGAATTTGACAGGAGGTAGAAATTCAGTGTAATCTGTTATAAAAATACCTCTCATGCAAGACAAAAACTTTTGTCAACAGGTTGATGATTTGAACTCCAAGACAACCAGTCTTCAGGCAGAGAAGGCGGAGTTAGAACAACAAGTGATACGGGCACAGGAGCATGCTGGGATTGCTGAAGAAGTGGACAAACTGAAGGCTGAATGCGAGAGGTGTGTATTAGGCCTTTTTCACATTGGGCTTTATACATAAGTGGCACAGTTTGTACTGGTAAGCTTAGAGAGAGATAGACACTTTAATAGCCTGACTGTCATATATGATAGTCACTTAAATAGAACTTCTTTGCTTGGCCAATTAATGGATTCTGCATGCACGCACACACAAACACACACAAAAAAAAAAATAAAAAAAAAAATTCAGCATTCTTTTCCCAATTTGTATTATCCATGTAATTTGTTTTAAATGGAAAGAAAAGCAAAGAAGAACAAATCAACATTTCAACATTTTTTACCCAGTATCTGTAATCCTCATAAATTATTTACAACCCCTCTTCCCAGATTGAGTGCCCTGTATGACAAAGAGCAGGAGAGGTCCACAGCCCACGCCAAGGACCTGGAGACCACCATAGGCGAACTCACAGAGCTGAAAGCCACAGTGGCCAACACCAAGGAGGAGAAGGAGAGACTGAACAAGGAGATAGAGAGACTGGTGGATGACAAGAAGGTAAGATGGATGGGGGGAACGTCTGCTTTAAGGAAAGAGATTGAAATGAAGAAAATATTGGAAAAATAACAAGTTGGGAGGAAATTGCATCAGTCATTTGCAGTTAATTAAAAGATTTCACATTTATGTCATGAATTCATAACATCTGTTTATGATATAATGAATAAAATGATTGATTAATTGTAAAAGATAACTTGAAATGAATATATGTATATACAGTTTGTATATATTGCTGGTACTTGTAGAGGGAGCAATGCTCTGGTTCTTTGGAGTAATATTTACCACAAAAATTTACTTCTTTCAGGGGCTTGATGCTCAAATTACTGACTTGTCCAACGAGCTGAAAGAGTTAAATAAGAATAGGAACGCTGAGAGGATGATGACAGACGAGATCGTGCAAGAAAAGCAACAGGTGTGCGATGTTGTTTAATCACAGTTCAAGTTGAATTTTATATGCTTTAGACCAATAATGTGAGAAATTGTTCCACCACTTCTGCAATTGTCCACTTAAAGGAAGATGCATAGAATAAAAGTTGCAAACTGTATAATGAAACTGGAGTTTATGTTGGTAATGATGTCGCACAAAGGAGATGTGTTGTTATTATGATACATTTGCTAATAAGCGCATATTGTACTGACATTGAAAGATGGAATTAAAACATTTAATTTACTAACATTTTAAATAGAAAAATAAAAACCAAATATTTAATTAGGTAACATTTTGAATTGTGCTTTTCTTTTTAAGTTGATGGAAAAGCTAGCAGAACAACAGAGAGAAAGTGAAGAGGAAAAAGAAAAGCACAAAGCAGAACTGCAAAAGTTGCAAACTGAACTAGACAACAACAAACAGCGGCTACAGGATGCAGTCAGGGTAAATGATTAATTTCTAAGACACATGGCTTATGAGACTGCTTATTTCCTACAACTGCATTCAAATTGATATTTTGTAAGTTGTAAAACCCACTGTTTTATGCAATTGTAACTTAAAGGATATAATTGCAAGTAGTTAACAAATATCTCATTGAACCTTGCAGCTGATATGTTTACCATTCTCTCTCTCTCTCTCTCTCTCTCTCTCTCTCTCTCTCTCTCTCTCTCTCTATATATATATATATATAATTCAGGAGGCCAAGCACAGCAGCATGGTGGACTTGGAGATCGCGGACTACGAGCGCACAGTAAACAGCCTCCAGGAGCAGGTCAGACAGAAAGAGACCAGCATTCACAGCGGAGAGAAAGAGATTGCAAGACTGAAAGAAAACATCAAGTCATTGGAAAAGCAACTGGGTGCGTTTTTAAAATGTTTGATATATCTGTATAGGTAGTTATTGGTATATAACATTTTTCTTTCAAAAAAAAAAAAAAAAAAAAAAAAGTTGCAAGAAGGAAATTTTTGATAAATTAGTCAATGTTATAATGATAATAAATTGAATAACAATGAATTCTTTTATGGCACATTACAGAATATCTGATATTATTTTAAACACATATAACACTAAAGTAAAAGGACACTGACAGTGAAATCAACATAAGAAAAGAATGACAAAAGAAATTGTTTAAAGCCTTTCTCTGTCCCTATTTTTTGCAGATTCTGTTGAAAGCCAGAGAGTGCAAAGTGAAGAACGTGGAAACAAGCTAAAACAACTTCTAGTCAAGACCAAGAAAGACCTGGCAGAAGCAAGAAAACTGGTAAGCTAAATTGCATGGGACCCAAGGGCACCTCCACTAAAAATTGAAAATATTTTAAAAAATATCCACTCTTCAGTCTCCAATAATCTAGAGATGTACATGGTTCGTTGCATTAGTTTAGAATATTACCAAGATTTTAAATCATTAAAAAGTTAATCCTTTTTCTGTTTCAGGAATCAGAACAAAAATCCTCTGATGTCCAGATGAGAGGACAGTTAGAAGCTGCAAATCAGCTGGTGGAAGATTACAAGGTATCAACAATCCTTCAACTTTGTTAGATGTTACACTGAGTTGATTGTGACATTGTACAAGAGTTGACAGTGTGTTAGGTGTGACACAGTTAATTGTGACTGCATAAAGTTTGTCATTGTGTTAGTTGTGACAAGGTTGATTGTGACTGCTTCAAGCGGTCATTGTGTTAGTTGTGACATTTGGTTGGTTGTGACGGTTTAATTACCAAGTTTGATATTGCTATCATAGCTATGGCATTGTGGTACATGAAAGAATCTAGTCTTTCTTCCAGGCTATTTTAGATATGTCCTCACGCTTCTCTCTCATCGGATTTCAGGTTCAACTGTCAGATCTTGCAGCGCAAAACCAGAAGTTCCAGGAGAAGCTGCGGATGTCCAGTGATTCCAGTCAGCGGAATATCAAATCACTTGAAGCCAGGGTGCAATCATTGCAAGACGAGCTCAATACCACCAGGGGGCAGCACCAAGCACTACAGGCTGAATATGAAGGCTACAAGGTTAGTTCTGTTGAGTTGGTTAATTGTTTAGTCAGATATTGATGATAATAGATGAGCGTATGTATTAGTGGTTTTTACTTTAGATATTGAATTTTTTAGTGAAGTATAATTTGTATAGCTGCTATCCAAACTGTTTTCCCCCATATCTAATCACTTGATTGAGCTTATTCCTCTCAGTTGAAAACTTACAGTGATCAAACACCATATATGTTTAAAAGTTCCATACCTAGTAATGCCAGTAATAATTACGAATTCCATCTTTCACAAGTAATTCACCAAATCTTTTAATCAGTTTCCTTGGACAAGAATGTGTTATCACAGACTGGTTTATAACATGTTAAGTTATTATATCAGAGTTAGCAGTAACCACATTACTGTGACTTCAGGTTCGTGTTCACAGTGTGTTAAAACAGCAGAGGAGCAAGTCTGTTGACGTGGATGATGTCGAGAAGCAAGAAAGGTAAAGTCACACCTTCATGTATCACTATGAATTTCAGTAGATGAACGGGAAAAAGTTTCCAGAATGTGGAAGTTATTTTGATGTAGACAAATAAACCCCTTAAATGAACTAGAATATAATTGTTACTTACTCTGATGTGATAAATTAAAAATAATAATAATAATAGAAAAAATAGATCCTAGACACTTGTACACTTGCACACAATTTATTACTCATCTATATAATACTGCATATTAGTGGTATAAACATCAGTGGTCAATGCACTACAATTTTAAAGAAATTTTAGTTGTTTTTATTTAAAATAAAGATAAATTGATTTAATGATATCATTTTTAGGGAGAAATTGGAACATCTTGTAGACCAACTGAAGACTAAACTACAGGAGACGAGGTAGTATTGTCATTGGAAGTGCCATTTTTATTTGTCTCTAAACTTAAAAGCTTAAAACTTCAAATTTAAAAGAAGAAAAAAAAAAGAGAATGTGGTGTGTGACTTCAGGGAATAAACATGTATTGAGCAACTTAAATAAGCACTTTAGAAAAATTGTTTAAAGTGCTAATCCTCATGGATAATAACAACATTTACATAACCACAGTTCTTACAAAATATTTCTTTAATTCATTTCTTTCGTTGAAATATCACTAAGGAAAACATTCCTTATTTTTCAGTGAAAATTTGCAGACCATCCAGAATGAGTATGACATATTACAAGAGGATCATGACCGTCTGCTTCAGAACCACAGCAAAATGCTGCAGGACATGGCTGACAAGGAGAAAGCTTGGAGAGACAGGTGAGATTACAGTGTGTTTATTATTATTTCAGTCACTTATCTTAGCAGTAAATACTATTTTTTAATTGATAAGAAATGCTTATTATGTCATTGATGATTACAGATAAAGTTCTCATCATTTTATCAGAATTTTCAGCCATTCTTTTTGATGTTAAAACAAGCAGACCTTGATAAGTGCAAAACAATTGATAAGTGCAAAATTAATATTGATTAAAAACTTAAAATGATGGTGTTTTTAATTGCAGTTTAACTGTAAAATTTCAAATCTGTCATCACATCTCTTGGGTTTATATACAACAGATAAATACCCCACAATGACAACAGAGGCAAAAGAGTGAAGAGTATAACCAATAGTAAACTGTCTTAATTGTAATAATTTTGACAATATTTGTTTCAGGTTGGACCAGCTGACGGTAGAAAATGCAGCTAGCAGCACGGAACACACTGAGACAATCAAACAACTCAGCTGGCAGAATGAAAACCTGTCACATACATTTAAGGTATTTGAGCCTCCTAGAATGTTGGTATTTATAATACTAAATATGTGATATTTATCTTCTTCTCTTGATTGTGTCTTTGTATCTTTGTTACCTGATACTTACTGATATCCTGGTAGTTCTGTTACTGATATTGGTCTGTACATTAGGTAGCACTGCTGTCTTGTTCATGCCTTTTTGTACCAAATTAGTGTTGCCTTGCAAATAGTTACCTGCAATACTCAGCCGCTTCATTAGACACATTGAATACTAGATAATTAGAATTCTCTTCTTATAACTTTCATCTTGTTAAATTAAGAAAGACACTGTAGACCTTCTTAACATTCATACTATTTACATGTCTTTTGGAGGACTCTTTGGCTTTATCTTATCTTTGTGCAGTGCCAATCTGTCTTTCTTATTGCTTTTATTATTTCACTTTTACATTCTTATGGTATTCCCTGTTGATTTAGATGCTCCTTACAAAGGAGGGGTTTAATATTTAAAGTCTCTCTCTCTATATATATATATATCTATATATGTTTCCCCAGGATCAGATCAAGAGTCTCCAGGAGGACCACCACAGACAAGTAGAGATGTTCCAGAAACAACTAGACAACTCTGATAATGAGATATTCCGCCTGGAGAGAGAGCTGCAGATGGCTCAGCAGAGGGCAGCACAGAGGTCAGCTGATCAAGACAGGAGCACTCCTGAGCAGCCACACCCTGTGGAGTTCATAGCAAACCCCAGGCAGGTGGAGAGGGAGTCTGGAGAGGTAATGGGTTACAATGTTTCTTATTGAGACTGGATGAAGTGTGACAAAAAAGACAGCAAAGAGTTTTATATTTTGTACTATAGACCACAGTAAGCAGGCCCGTATCCAGCAATTTCAGAGGGGGGGTTCGTTTTCTGAAAAAGTGGACCTTTTACCATAAAATCCTCAAGTACATAGGTCAAATTTTACCCAGAGTGGACCTTTGCCCAGCAAAAAGGGTGGTTCTTTCGAACCCCCTGAACCCCCCTGGCTACGGGCCTGGTAAGGTTAATAGATTTTTCAAACAAGTGTTTGAAGTGTTTCAAACAAGTGTTTGTATGGCACTCCAAAGTTTGAGTGTCTCACAAGACACTTTCTTTACGGCATGAGGCTAATGTGATACAAAATCCCACTCTCGTGGAGAGAACTTGTAAACTAATGAATTATACTTAGTCTTAATGCTGATTTGCTTTATGCTTACAGGGCCAGGAACACACAGAACTTGAACCAGCAAATGTAAGTAGTCCACAGAAAAAATCTTAGAACTCTGTTTGTTTTTGTATGATTAGGATTTTTTAAAGCAGTGCTTTGAGTCGTCTTGAATTTTTAAATGAAATTATATATAGTCATGTGTTTAAGTAATAAATTCATTTCAAAAGATAGCTACATATTAGATTCTATATATTTTGTCCAGACACAGAAGATACCTAGTGGCAGCAGCTTGGTCCCCTTTGAGCAACTCTTAACCACCCCCATGGATGACACGAAAAGTAAGATATATATCTGAAAACAATACACACCATAAGTTATATATAAACCTAAAAACTGTTAATATAACCCTAAAGGCTGTTAAATATAGTTGGCTAATAAGTGGTGTATACAATAACATACTTGACTCATATAGGCTTGATTTTTANCATCATTATCTACTGAGGGATGATGATATTCAGCCTTATCTTTGATTGGTCCGGATTTGAACAAAGCGCGCTTTGACTTGTTCGCGTTCATTGGCTAGATCGTTCAATAAGTCATTGAGTGCGGGCTTTAAATTTGATTGGCGGGCGGCGGAGGCTATCGAATGTGGTCAGAGGTAACTTGACACGATGAAGATAGGCTATAGTGAAGAGGTTAGTGGCAAGTTATCTCTGAAGCTCAGGGTGGTTTTTGTATGATTAGGATTTTTTAAAGCAGTGCTTTGAGTCGTCTTGAATTTTTAAATGAAATTATATATAGTCATGTGTTTAAGTAATAAATTCATTTCAAAAGATAGCTACATATTAGATTCTATATATTTTGTCCAGACACAGAAGATACCTAGTGGCAGCAGCTTGGTCCCCTTTGAGCAACTCTTAACCACCCCCATGGATGACACGAAAAGTAAGATGTATATCTGAAAACAATACACACCATAAGTTATATATAAACCTAAAAACTGTTAATATAACCCTAAAGGCTGTTAAATATAGCTGGCTAATAAGTGGTGTATACAATTACATACTTGACTCATATAGGCTTGATTTTACAATTCACATCTGAAATTAATCCAATTTTTTGGCAGTTTTTCATCTCAAGTGGCCCCCCTGATTATAAGTCAGAAGCTCTCCTTGCCATTTCCTCCTTTTTTCCTATGACCCAAAATCATGTCCTACTGCCAGAAATCAACCTAATTATTACTGTAGTATGAGAGTCTTCACTACTGTTTTTGTTCTCTAGGTGTGACCAGTGTGACATCATTTGATGAAGAGATCCTCAGGGCCAGCCTAAATACAGCTGAGAAGAAGATAGAACACTTGACTCAGGTGGGCATGACAAGAGAGAGAGAGAGAGAGAGAGAGAGAGAGAGAGAGAGAGAGAGAGAAACAAATGAATAAAGTAGACTGTAGGACTTGTATGGGTTTGGCACTTCAGTACAATTTCCTTTTCTGTTAAATCTTTAGTGTAAAGGAAATGCATACTCTCATGCACACAGTTCAATTTGATCAATTGAATGTTTGATCAATTAAATTATTTATTTATTTATTTATTCATTTATTTATTTATTAGTTGATAAATGAGAGTGAGGCAACAGTGATGAGGCTGACAGAACAGGCAAAGATTCTCAAGGATGAGATCAGGCGACTGGAGAGGAACCAAGAGAGGGAAAATGCCATATCAAACCTTGAATACCTGAAGAATATTGTACTGAAGGTAAGTGTTTACTCATAGTAACATTACACTGAAAAATTTGGAGATTTTCACCCCTTTAGTAGATTAAGCTTGAATAATGGCATAGAACTAGATCAAATTTTGATGCAAGGCTGGCATTTCTGGTCAAAAAATGGATTTCTTTCTAACCTCATCAACCCATTCTTCCTATGAGCCCCACTTTTCATCAGGATACATGAAGTTTAGTGAAGGGAAAATGTTCTGTTTTCCAGTTTGTCACATTAAAGACCAGTGAGGAGAGAGAACAGCTGGTGCCAGTGCTGAACACAATGCTGAAACTGAGTCCTGACGAGAAGACGCTCATCACTTCCATAGCCAGAGGTAAGGCTGCTTAGAATACTTGAGATATCAAACAGCTGTCACAATGAGCAAAAATGTCCTTCAGTTTGAGACCAACTATCATTATTTGTACACAAGCAAAACACTTATTTGCAGGATGCTCATAACAGGTTATTATACTGAAAAATCCAAAGTGCAAAGATTGTTTGTTGACATTCATATTCAGCCTGAATTTCTGGGGTGGATCATTCAATAAATGTACATAAAAGACTATGAATGTGATATACTTAAATTGAATTTTTAGGTGAAGATGGCGCCACTGCAGGTAGTGAACAAGCTGGCTGGGGCTCGTACTTGCATCGATGGTCAGGAGGACTGGTGTAATCGACAGACCTTTGGAGAAGACTGAGTGGCTGGTTTAGGGGGTCTCTGGGGGGGGGAGAGGGGGAAAAAGAGAGAGAGAGATCCTCAATGGAGTCCTTGGTGGAATTTATTTAATAAAATTTTGCTCACAATTTTTAATTTTTAAGAAATTATTTTTCACTGGGGAGGATCCTTGGAAGCGTTATCATTATATAAAATGGGATTTTGCAGAATTATTTTTCTACTCAAAATTATGGAACGTTTGTGATCTTCGTTTTTGTTGTTGTTGTATGTAATCTGTTGTTAGTCTTGAGTATTCTTTGGGATCTGGCCAAAAATGTTACTGTAATACACCTGACCTTGGTGTGATAGTGACAAGTACAGTTACTACTCAGATTGAATTCATCTGGTTTTTTGTCGCTGTAAAGTTGTATGTAATTAATTATTCAGCTGTGCACAAGAAATAAGATGTTCAGTTTTGTCCGTCCAATGGAATTGTAATGACAGGTGTTTTCTCTGGATAAACAAGGAGACAGACTGATTATAATGTTATAACTTTAAGTATTTTTGAGAATTTATGACTTAAAAGATGCACTCTCTGCAAAATTCACGATTTCTTGCCCTTTGAAAAGATTGAGTTATTACCATGATGGGTCATAAATGATGTAGTGATATTTTCTTGTTAATTTTATCTACTGCGTGTTGTGAATATCATTTGACATGAATATCAAATGTGGGAGTCATGAGTACTTTAGAAATGTTTAAATCAGCATTATTTTCATATTAAAAGCTCAGAATTGTGCTTTATTTAATTGATGATAATAAAGATAAAAATAATGCTAATAGTTTCAAATATTGCATTAATTGTTTTCACGTCATGATTTTAAATCTGCAAGTAAAATTTAAAAAAAAAAATCAAATTTACAGTTTAGGTGAAGGTTTGAAGGAATTTGCGTTAATACAACGAAGCACATTGGTTTTATTAAAAGACAAAACAACAGACCAATCTATCCCAGACAATGCTTTTCCAGTGCCTTATGAAGGACGATGATCTACATTTAGTGGATGCAATTATAGCTTTGTATATACATTACTGGAGAGCAATATGGAGAATTAAGCAGTGGCGCATGCTTCACAATGCCATCATTAATTTTATCCTTTGCTTGAGATGAGGTCTCAAATGCAATTTCTGATATTCACTCTGAATGGTTTAGGTTGGATGACGTTATTACTTCACAGGATATTTCAGAATACCAGGAAGATTTTTGTAACAGAACTAATTAAGATAATAACCAAAAGCAATGATTTAAGTGTATAAGAATTAATTCAGATGTTAAGGTATGGCTGGTTCATATGAATTGATTAATAGAAATAATCTTGACAATGGGAATTGGAAATGTTTTTGTTACATTCAAGAGATATGTAAATCATATTCTAAATGCTTACAGTAGTTGCAATGGTTAGCTTTTCTTTATTATTCAGAGGAGTTGTGGTTGTCAGTTGTTGGTTGTTTTTATCAATGTTCATATTAATAACTATCTGTTCAGTCTATGACACTGGAGTGTGTAATATACTCTGACTTGTTCTGTGATATATGACTAATAACTCAAGACATGAAAATGGATGACTCACTGTATACCAATGTGTTAAAGTCAGAATTATGAATTGCTGCATTTCATTCCAACAGTGTGTATTTCTAGATTCCAGTCATCTTCTTTTTTTAAGGGGGTATACGCAAAAAAAAAAAGGATTCATGTAATACAGATAGTTAATGTGCATGAAATTTTTGTTTTACATTGTGAGATTTATAAAAATCCAGATTTAATCTTATGTAATTTGGTATTTTGGGTGTGCATTGTTCTCAAGGATTTAATTGGGTACTTGAAATAAAAAAGGTGCATGAAAAAGTACACTGCAGTGTTTGTTAGCTTTTAAGATAATTGTATTACATATTTTTTGTATGATACAATAGTTGAATACTGTGGTATCAGAAATTATTATGTACTTGAGGGGGTATATAGAATAATTATGTAACAATATTTGGTATAACTGTTTAAAGGTCATCGTGTGTTTCAATTTTAGTAATGGAAAAATAATGAATATCATTCGAGTTCAAAGACGAATTATGGTAAACGGCTTTCTTTAAATTAATGCAAAATAGACGAGTAGCTTCATCAAAAATTAGCGCAATTTGTTAGTGTCGCAACAAACGCAATCAGTAACTTCTGGCTTCCAACTCTCGCAGCCAGCTCCGAGAAACTCCGAGATCGTGGATTGCTAATCATGGCTGCTGGCTGTTGTGGGGTGAAGAAACAAAAGCTCAACAACTCAATGCCAGCCGTCTGCTGCAATGGCTCATCAGTCCATCCAAATGGATATTCCAATGGTCTCACGGTCCGGCCAGAGATGTGTTATTACTGTTTTGACGTTCTCTACTGCCATTTGTTCAACTGCGAGCCACCCAAAGGACCCCTTACATTCACAAACGATCCATAGTAAGTGTGGGCGGGCGGGTATTTTTTTTATCAAAACTTAAAAAGTCAAGATTTAAAGTCGAATCATTTAACGGTGACTCATTAGAGTAAGTTTGATGTTTACGTCATGCGTACCGTAAACGGTTTGAAGACAAGGCTTGAAATTTTAAAGAATATATCCTTTGTTTACGTCCTATGATTTCAACACCCCTCTTCTCTTTATTAAACTCGCCCTAAGTGGCCGTTCCCTTTGATGATGAGCGGAGTGATGGAGGTCAGTTGGGGGTGATAGGAGGGGACAGTAAGGGGGACATTTCAGGTGACATATGGTCTAGCTGCCTTCTTTGTTCTTTTATAATTGATTTTTAGGACAGGTACAGGGACTCTACGGGGGTGTGACCCAGAGCTGACCTGAACTTAGGAGAATGAGCCAGTTTTTGAAATGTTGTTTATTTTTGTGACACTTTCTGATTTATTTTTTATAGACTGAATGTTTGAATAAGTATTTTTGTAAAATGTTTTTTATTGCAAGAGAGAATGAGAGAGAGAAAGAAGAAGAGGATTTTTCACCAGTTAAGGGTGACATTGAGTAGAAAAACAAAATCCAACGTGTGTGTGTATGTGTGTGTGTGTGTAAGAGAGAGAGAGAGAGAGAGAGAGAGAGAGAGAGAGAGAGAGAGAGAGGACAGCTAGGGTCTTTTAATCTTTGAATGAGGCCCAACCACTTTCAAGTGTGTGTGTATGAGGAAAAGAAAGGTCTCAAATAAAGAAAAATTAATATACCTACCTGTTATCATAAACCATATTAGGTACACCACAAATAAATGTAGAGTATGTGGTTATAATTGGAAAGCACAGGAAGACGTGCCTGTCACAGCCACCTTGCTGATGAGTGGCATATATCTGAATCATACAGTCCTTTTTTTTTTTTTTGAGAGTAAGTGACATGGCACCAGGATCTTTTGTTTTTTCTTTGTCCATTTTGGTACTTAACCAATACACAGTGTTTTAACATCCATTAATACTGTGCCTCTCTCTCTCTCTACTACTTAAATCACACCTGCTGAGAGCATATATATGTATATCCTCATAACCATCCCATTAGGTTTAAAACCATAGAGGCTGATGCTATATCAGTCCAGATGGATGGTGGTATGTATTGGTGTAGGAAATTGGATGTGTTTACTGACTGAAATATGTTTAAGACCCCATTTCCAGAGATTAGATCGATCTACTTTAGATCGACCTAACTCCCTGGGGGGTTCACGCTAAATAGCTGTCTGCCGTGCGGACACGAAAGTTAAGTACCCCCTTACAGTTTGTAGTAGGCGGGACGGACATTTAAGCCAGATAATCTGACAGTAATCTAGTGAGACTCCCCGCGGAGATAGATCGATCTAAAAGCTCTGGGAATACAGCCTAAGTGATTCTTGTACATAATAGCCAGCATATTACGAAATTGTACGTTTGAACCGAGCATCAGTGGATTGTGGATTCCCAGTAACACATACAAATCACTTCTAATAGTTTCTTATATGAGACAAATGAAGACCCCATACCGGGGATAAACCAAATTACTATTAACCACTAGATCAGCCAAAAAAGAGCTTTAAAGTGCATCTACTTACCTGACCACTTTATATACAGCACAAATATCATTTTTCAGGAAATATATTTCATATTAGGAAATGATGCCTCTTGGTACATCTCTAAGTTATACTATTTGAAACTATATGGTTGCATTTGGTGGGCTTTTGTGCCAAAAGGTTGACTTTTAATGTCTTTCTCCTGAGCAGAACAGAAAACTGTACACTCAATGTGAGAAGGGCCAAACTGTAGTAGAATGTTCTTTCCTGTCATTCTTAAACAATACAAGTCTTTGATTACGTGATTATTAGGATATTTTCAGGGCCCCAGAGAATAAGATGATATCAGACCCTGGATTTCCTGGAGTAAAACATAGTTACTATAGCAACAGCTTCTAGGTGCCTGTAACCCACTTTAATGAAAGTTAACCCTTACCTCAGCACAGTCATACAGAAATGTACATACACTTCACTTTTTTCAACCAAGTACACATACTTAAGATTGACATGTACTTTTTCATTTAGTGCACGTACAAAATACCCCCAAGTTCTAAATCTTTTTTGAAACCATATTGAAATTTGTTTTTTTTTCAGTGGAGATAATTTCCTGAGGCTGACATGATGTTTTAGGTTATCCTATTAAAATGTGATATCAATGCTAAGAAAAAGATGAATGTGGAAACTGCATATATTCTTCCTCTTCCTGTTGCTGGCATTTTATATATATGTAATCATCAAGTGATGAATGATTGGCTGATATTATATCATATTTTTAAGTAGTGCAAGAAGGTCAAATCAAGCAGGGATGAGGGTTTTCCACAGAAATGCAGGTTTCTGAGTTTTTTCCAGAGAAAAATGTCAAAATTGTTAATTTTCCAGAGTTTTTTTCACGTCAAACCATTCACATCTCTGATTAAGGTGATCATAGAAGTAATTTNCAATTTAACAGTTTTTTGTGACAATTTCATTTTTCACATATTTGCATCTTTATTTTCTGTTCTTTGTCTGTACATTTGACAGCTTTGCTGCCTTGTTATAGACTGAATGTTTGAATAAGTATTTTTGTAAAATGTTTTTTATTGCAAGAGAGAAGGAGAGAGAGAAAGAAGAAGAGGATTTTTCACCAGTTAAGGGTGACATTGAGTAGAAAAACAAAATCCAACGTGTGTGTGTGTGTGTGTATGTGTGTGTGTGTGTGTGTGTGTGTGTGTGTGTGTGTGTGTGTAAGAGAGAGAGAAGGAGAGAGAGAGGGGACAGCTAGGGTCTTTTAATCTTTGAATGAGGCCCAACCACTTTCAAGTGTGTGTGTATGAGGAAAAGAAAGGTCTCAAATAAAGAAAAATTAATATACCTACCTGTTATCATAAACCATAGTAGATACACCACAAATAAATGTAGAGTATGTGGTTATAATTGGAAAGCACAGGAAGACGTGCCTGTCACAGCCACCTTGCTGATGAGTGGCATATATCTGAATCATACAGTCCTTTTTTTTTTTTTTTTTTTGAGAATAAGTAACATATATGTATATATATGCAGGCCCGTAGCCAGCAATTTCAAAAGGGGGGTTCTTTTTCTGAAAAAGTGGACCTTTTCCCATAAAAACTTCATGTACCTAGATCAAATTTTACCCAGAGTGGACCTTTTCCCATCAAAAGGGGCGGTTCTTTCGAACCCCCCGAACCCCCCCTGGCTACGGGCCTGATATGCAAGGCACATGGCACCAGGATCTTTTGTTTTTTCTTTGTCCATTTTGGTACTAAACCAATACACAGTGTTTTAACATCCATTAATACTGTGCCTCTCTCTCTCTACTACTTAAATCACACCTGCTGAGAGCATATATATGTATATCCTCATAACCATCCCATTAGGTTTAAAACCATAGAGGCTGATGCTATATCAGTCCAGATGGATGGTGGTATGTATTGGTGTAGGAAATTGGATGTGTTTACTGACTGAAATATGTTTAAGACCCCATTTCCAGAGATTAGATTGATCTACTTTAGAAAGTTAAGTACCCCCTTACAGTTTGTAGTAGGCGGGACGGACATTTAAGCCGGATTATCTGACAGTAATCTAGTGAGACTCCCCGTGGAGATAGATCGATCTAAAAGCTCTGGGAATACAGCCTAAGTGATTCTTGTACATAATAGCCAGCATATTACGAAATTGTACGTTTTAACCGAGCATCAGTGGATTGTGGATTCCCAGTAACACATACAAACCACTTCTAATAGTTTCTTCTTTGAGACAAATGAAGACGCCATACCAGGGGATAAACCAAATTACTATTAACCACTAGATCAGCCAAAAAAAGAGCTTTAAAGTGCATCTTCTTCAGATTTTTTAATGTAAATTTGACCTACTTACCTAACCAGTTTATATACAGCACAAATATCATTTTTCAGGAAATATATTTCATATTAGGAAATGATGCCTCTTGGTACATCTCTAAGTTATACTATTTGAAACTATATGGTTGCATTTGGTGGGCTTTTGTGCCAAAAGGTTGACTTTTAATGTCTTTCTCCTGAGCAGAACAGAAAACTGTACACTGTATGTGAGAAGGGCCAAACTGTAGTAGAATGTTCTTTCCTGTCATTCTTAAACAATACAAGTCTTTGATTACATGATTATTAGGATATTTTCAGGGCCCCAGAGAATAAGATGATATCAGACCCTGGATTTCCTGGAGTAAAACATAGTTACTATAGCAACAGCTTCTAGATGCCTGTAACCCACTTTACTGAAAGTTAACCCTTACCTCAGCACAGTCATACAGAAATGTACATACACTTCACTTTTTTCAACCAAGTACACATACTTAAGATTGACATGTACTTTTTCATTTAGTGTACGTACAAAATACCCCCAAGTTCTAAATCTTTTTGAAACCATATTGAAATTTGTTTTTTTTTTCAGTGGAGATAATTTCCTGAGGCTGACATGATATTTTAGGTTATCTTATTAAAATGTGATATGAATGCTAAGAAAAAGATGAATGTGGAAACTGCATATATTCTTCCTCTTCCTGTTGCTGGCATTTAATATATATGTAATCATCAAGTGATGAATGATTGGCTGATATTATATCATATTTTTAAGTAGTGCAAGAAGGTCAAATCAAGCAGGGATGAGGGTTTTCCACAGAAATGCAGGTTTCTGAGTTTTTTTCCAGAGAAAAATGTCAAAATTGTTAATTTTCCAGAGTTTTTTTCACGTCAAACCATTCACATCTCTGATTAAGGTGATCATAGAAGTAATTCTATTTACCTTATTTCTGGGGTATAATTTGTTCTCTTTTACACCCCATTTCCATAGATTAGATCGATCTACTTTAGATCGACCTAACACCCTGGGGGTTCACGCTAAATAGCTGTCAGCCGGGCAGACATGAAAGTTAATTACCCCCTTAAAGCTTGTAGTAGGCGGGACGGACATTTAAGTATGATTATCTGAAAGAAGTCTAGTGAGACTCCCCGTGGGGATAGATCGATCTAAAATCTATGGGAATAGAGCCTAAGATATGTAAAATGGGCTGTTGTATCATGTAAAAGTCCAAGGTTCATGGCAAAAGTAATGGATGGTTATGTCTGTCATGTATGATAAATCACCAGGCCAATTGTTAAGTAGTCAAAGCTTCAAAATGAGTTGAAAAAAGAGGGGGGGGGGGGGGGGGGCACCACTCACAGTGTAATGGTGAGCCCAAGACTTCAAAGCTGTTGAAGTTGATATATACAAAAATCTAAGATATAAGAATGATTTATTAAAAGTACAGAGCAAATATGTTTTTTGGTTGTACATAAACTCAAACTAGACCATGACCTATGCCATGTTGAAGTGAAAAAAGAATTCCTCACGTAACGCGAGGCTGTTCAGTGTCGCTGATCTGGGGATAATGGAGCCAGGTTACAGTGGAAATTGCCATCAACATAATGAGAAAGGGAAAAAAAGACATCTTGTTGTTGCAAAGTGAGTGTGTGTTAAGGACAGGATATTGGGTTCTGGTTCTGAAGTTCTTTGCCTGCTTTGTTAATATTTCTTTCTGTCTCATTAGAGAGGGCTGTTCTAGTTCACAGTAATGTGATATGGTATATATAATGGTTTTTCTGTGTCCTGTTATGTGTATTATTTTATTCAAGATGTGTTATCTATATGAACGCAAATACATTTACACACATTCGTAAATAGCCTCTATCCAGGACGGACACACACACACACACATACACACTTTCATTCTCACTCACTCACACACACACACACACACACACACACACTTTACTCTCACTCACTCCTACACACACACACACACACACACACACACACACACTCACACACACACACACAGCAGGTACTAGTACTAGTACAGGTCAGGGTGGATGGTCAGCAGTCTGTGATGTTATTGTCTGCTCCTATGGCCATCGTCAGTAAGATTTTGTTTGCACCAGTAAATTTTTTCAGAGTGTGTGAATCCTGATTGGGGATCAGTAGACTAGTGTTTAGGAGAGTGGTCTGAATGGTCAGTAACCTGAAAAGGTTATGGCACAAAGACTGACCTGTGGTCAAATTTGTTGAGATTGTCCCCCAACTTGATGTGAATAGCCTCCAGGACTTTCTGGTATAGTTCCTAGGCTTTGTACCAAGCGAAACAACATTTTCAATATCAGCTCTTGATTGAAGAAAAACTACCTGCTTTATACTTGATGAATGGATTTTCTGGATTTTATTTGCAATACCTGTATATTAAATCCAGTTCATCATAAGTAACCTTACAGTAAAGGTAGTAGCACCTGTTCATAACATTCAGCTTATAATATGAAGCCTCCTGGTTCAATACAAGTCAATAAAATCTAGCTCAACATAACGAGTAGCCTTGATGTACAAAACCTGTTAATAAAATACTGCTTATGATGTGAGACTGGATGCAGAAAAAGCTGCAGACCTAAGACTACACGGAGAAGAACTGTTAAGGCAGAGTTGAAACAACAGGGAGAAAACTGGGGAACGATTCAACACCTACTAGTAGGTCGTGACAGAGAACAGTGGAAGATCTTTGATGGTGGCCTTAACAACTTGCCGGTGTAAAAGGAATGGATGATGATGATGATGATAAAGAAATTAAGGACTAGGGCGAGCCCAGGATGATGTAATGTGTGATTACTTCGTGCAGTACCTTTGTATTGTGGCTGTTCGTTGTTGACAGCCATTATGTGTCTGGTCATTTAGCCATCACCTGTATCTGTAGTCAGTATTGCCATCTGTTTAACTGTTGCTGTAATTACTTGTGATAAAAGCTGGTATTCAGCATTTGTCTGCATCATTTTAAACAGGAAAGATTATTGTTGAGCAAAAAGGATACAGTTTAGCTTGGAAATTGTATATTTATAAATTCGTGCTGTTTTTTTAAGTGCAATTGGTAAATTGTGCATCATAGTTCCAGGAAAAACTGGATGGTTTGAATTTTTTTTTTTAATTCTTCTTTTCTGTTGATGGTGGTACACTCAGCAGATCACGTTGTAGTGGGGAAAAAAAAAGATAGACATTATATATATATGTGTCTGAGTCTGTTCAGATTGCATAGATCTGTGAATGAATAGAAACACTGCTGTCCTTGTTTCAGTCCACTCTTTGTCACATGGAAGATAGGCAAGGACAAACGCCTCCGCGGCTGTATTGGAACCTTCTCCGCCATGAGTCTCCAGAGCGGCCTCAGGGAATATGCTGTCACAAGGTACACACACGCACGCACGCACGCATACACATATATAATGTACCAGTACATGTATGCCTATCTGTGTGCCTGCCTATAAACACATACACTAAGTAGGTAGACATTCTATATTATATATTATACATTCATTGTGTATCAGTAGTTTTTTGGATGCAGGTGCACCATCATGTATATTTTGTTATTCTCTATTTTGCATGTACTAATTAAATAAGCCCATACATCAATCTCATTCATTTTTTCTTTAATATTCACAAGGATTTTTTAATTCTTCCTTTAAATTAGAGATTTATTACGAGTTTTCTCAAAAAAACAGATCATATTTTAAACTCTTTCACAGCTTCATCTGACCCAAGACCATATCTAATTGCAGCATATTTTGTGTAAAGACAAAAAATGCATGTCTATATCATGTACATGTACTTTCAGTGCGGTCAAAGACAGCCGATTCAGTCCAGTCACAAAGGAAGAATTTGCCCGCCTCCATTGTTCTGTGTCCATACTTACACGATTTGAGGAGGCCGCCGACTATTTGGACTGGGAGGTATGATAATGCATGTGCGCACAGACATGCACGTGTTCATAAAAAAAAATAATAATTTGTTGAATCTGTTTATAGGTATTCTGAAAAAAAATATTTTTCATCATATCCTAGCAAAATGTTTTATGTATAACTAGAAATTTCTGAAAAATGTATGGAGAAATAAAGCAGTTAAAGACAGGGTGAATTGGATTTAAAAAAATTAAAAAGTCTTGAAAAATATGTTGAAATAAAGAGAATTTATACAGATAGTGCAGAGTCATAAAATGGTAGAATGAAGACTCTTCATATGCTAACTCCTAAACTCTGCCCCCCTGCCCACTGCTGTGACCACTACTAGATGGATGTACATCACATATCATTTACTAAGTCAGATATTTATAGTCATTTAGTAAAATTATAAGCTTAAGTTCGGTGAAAAAACATTAGTACTGCACTGTAATCTTAAACAGGGATGCTGTCATGCCGTGCTTCCTTGAACTCCATCTAAAATTTCGTCTTAAAATGAAAAAGTAATTTGTTTACGACATAACGTAAACTGAGAGTGGAAAAGCTAACTGGGTAACTATCACCTGTAAAGATCTATGTGGTGGCAAGAAATGTTGTCTGGTTCATTGATTGCGTTAACCTCCCCTGTTGACACGCTGGCAAGGAAGATCTTGTTAATGGAGCTAAAAGCTTCTCCTTAAGTTAATTATCTATCCTCAGTTATGTCATCATTCTGCTTTGGAAGGATGCTCTGTGGGGTTCTAAATTTAGAAAGGTTTTCTCTGAATGGTTTCTCTTCTAATGGTAATCAGGAGAGGCCATTCTAGTATCATTTTTGAGCTAGGCAAGCAGGAGAGGCCATTCTAGTATCATTTTTGAGCTATGCAAGCAGTAGAGGCCATTCTAGTATCATTATTGAGCAATGCAAGCGGTAGAGGCCATTCTAGTATCATTATTGAGCAAGGCAAGCGGTAGAGGCCATTCTAGTATCATTATTGAGCAATGCAAGCAGTAGAGGCCATTCTAGTATCATTATTGAGCAATGCAAGCAGTAGAGGCCATTCTAGTATCATTATTGAGCAATGCAAGCGGTAGAGGCCATTCTAGTATCATGATGATTGAACAAGAAGTGTCAAGAAGTTTATATTTAGATATACAAGTTATATTTAGATCAACAGTCATTATTCACAGTCTCATGTACAACCTTGAACTTAAAATAACTTGTGAACACAGCTGCAATTTTGACTAGAAAGTTGGTTTCTTCTTACAAAGGCTTGGAGAAAAATGACATTTTTCAAGAAGATTCAATTTGTTAAATTGATTTCTTAGTTTAGAAACACGTATTGTTAGATGAACAAAGTGTTTGACTTTGAGAACATTTGATAATTTTTCACAAATTTATCAGAAATTTTGAAAAAAAAAATTCAAGGCTTAGGTTTAAGCAAGAAATATTCAGAAGTAACCCTCAGACTTGTGGTTCTCAGTTTCAGCCAAGTCATACTAGCTCTAATTTCCATTTCTAGGTCGGAGCTCATGGAATTAGGATAGAATTTCTCAATGAAAAAGGGCACAAGAAAACAGCTACATATCTTCCCGAGGTAGCTCCTGAACAAGGTAATGGGACTGGATGGAGATATAAAGATGAAATTATTATTATTATTATTATTATTATTATTATTAAAGCTCACTGTTGAAAGCTTCATTATGAGCTTTGATTATGATTCCATCTTTATGTTCGTTTATGATGGTGTCAAAACTTTCACTTTGATATATTGATGTAGGGATGCTTGAAAGGTTTGAACTGAAATATGAAACATTAATGCATGCATGCACACTCATACACTCACATTCCATAGGCTTACCCTGAATAGTTTATCTGAAAATCAGTTTTAACTTAGGTAATTGGATGATTGAATGTTAAAAAAACTTAATTGAAACAGTGAGACTAGTAAGCTCACATTAAAAAGATAATGTTTTAGTTTCATTGCCCTAAAGTATTTGAATTATGTTATTTGTACTAAGTTCAACTTGATTTTTATGATAAATGACATTATTGTTGGCAGTACCTTTGTAAGACTCCCATTGAAACATATGGCCACTTCATGGGATTTTCATTGCACATGTTATGAAGTACTTTTTGCAGAGTAAACATGTAAAGCTGATGAAAATCTACCCATTGGTTGTTGTCAAGTTTAACATGTCATTGTTGTTCTTCTGTTTTTAGGCTGGGACCGCATACAAACTATAGACTCTCTCCTGCGTAAGGGAGGCTACAAGGGATCAATTAACAATGAAGTTCGCAAGAGCATCACTCTCACACGATATCGCAGTGAAAAAATAACTATTTGTTACAATGATTATATATTGTATAAACACATGAGTATGAATAAGTCTTCTCATTGATAAAAGTGGAACTTATCGTGATAAAGGAAGTGTATCTTTGTCATTGGTCATGATTTATTTGGGGAGGCCTTTTTTGGAGTCAGTTAATTTAAGGAAGTTTATTTGAATTTGTTCAGGGTTGCTTTAGATTGATAAACTGTCGTCAGCAGCAGATGACACAATTGATAAACTGGGAAATAAATAGCTGAAAGTGCAACGAGATGGTATTTGGAATTGGCCTTGGAAATAAGATGATTTTTCAATCTAAGGTGGCCCTTAGCTATACAAACTGTTAAGTTTTAGGATAAATAGAGAAACAGGCAAGAAAAAGTATGTATTCAGAATTGTGCTTATATTTGGAGAAGTTGATAAAATAGTTTTTTCTTCCCTGTTTGGTTATAGCAAAAAGAATCTCTTATTGTTGGTTGTTTACACAGTGATTATGTCAGAGCAAGTTAGGGTGTTGTTTGAAGACAATAGCAGATCAGTCCCATTACAGAAGGTTACAAAACACTTCAAAATGCTTGCAACCAAATTCTTTGAAAAAATTCCTGCAGACAGTTTTGTGGACAAAACTTTTGCTGTCCTTTGATGCACAACATTCACGCAATTTTATTCCGTATATGTTCTATGTCAACTCTGCTATGACCACGGATACCCAAGTGGGCTCTGATGTGTAACAATATTAGACGAAACTGTATTTCCTTTCATTCTGACTCCAGAAAAGGTTTAGCCAATTATGAGTCGTGTTTCATATGCATTTGATGTCATCCATTCATTGCACAGGAGACTTGACAGCATGGAATTTGGAGAAGGCATTTTGGTCCAATAGAATACATTGTTACAAACTTGCTCGGACCCTAAGGGGTCAAATGTCCTTTTTGTTACAAATTATTATCATGAACACCCTTTTAGTGTTGTTTTACAGCAATTTTTAGATATGAAGTTTAATTTTGATAGAATTCTGTGTTACAGAACTTTAGCCGGCAGATTTCTATCCTTCTGTGGTACCTCAAAGTTTTATTATGAGACTATAACAGTGGTATAAGTACAGAAATATGTTGGCTTTGTTGACCCTAGCTGCTATACCAAACAGTTATTTATTGCGAAGACTGAATTTGAAAGCAAAGAGGTTTGAATGTAAAGAATTCTTTATGAAAGGGATTTCTAAGATTGTATTAAAAAGCTTGATATGTTGCAAAACAAAAAGATACCTTCTTCTAATTTTCCAATTTTTGATCTCAAATTACATACTTTTTTGAAAAACAAAACACCCATTAAAAATTCTAGTTTGTTTGAAATGTGTTTGAATTATATATGAAGGCTGTCATTTTTAAGGGTGTGTACAAAACCAGTATGGGACGAGGTAGAGCATCAGAGTCAACAGGATAGAGTTTTTGTTATGAAAGTCATCATTTCAGTAGTAAGATATATGTAGTGTATTTTAATACTTTGTTTATGAAACTCATACCTCATCTTGGGATGACTTACAGGTTCTTGTGCTTTATAGTGCGAGCTCAGCACAGTGACATTTTTTTGTTTCCTTTTAAAATTTGAAAAACTCATTTTTGTGTCAAAAACAAGAAGGCAACTTTTCCTGTTACCATGAATTCAATGATAAGTCACTTTTTTCTGTTGTCCATAAATTTTTGGATATATAACATCTGCCAGAAGCTTTTATCTGCAAACAAACTATTGAGTAAGATAACAAACCATATATGGCATCTCATTCACACAAAAAAAGCCTTGTGTTGGAACAAAACATTAATTTTTGACATTGGAATTGGTTTATCTTGACCTATCAGATGAGATGTTAGCCACATAAAAAAAGCTTCCTGTTGGAACAAAACATTCATTTGGGTCGGAATTGGTTTGAGATGTTCTTGAAGTGCAATTACTTGTATGTAGTCCTATATATCATTCATGAAACTAATTATATTATTGGGTATAGAGGCCGGTGCTGTGATAACAGGCAATTGTTTGAAATTTCAGAGGTCAGTTGGTAACATTTCATCTCCATTCTATTCGGGCATAGATTTTAGGTAAAAACTGTTCATTGGGAATCATCCAAGATGGCACTGCCTCCATGTTTAGCATAAAATCAAGCGAGGTTTTGCTGGATTTGGAAGAAAGTGAGGTCAGAGGAAAAGGCAGATTAGCAAGCGTGGTGCAGAAATAAATGAAAGCTGACAATTTATCTGCAGATATATTTCTGGTTGCTTTCTTTTCTGCTCTGTTAAAACACAGTCTATTGCAAAACAGTACGAATCCGCCATGTTGTGGATGTCACTTTTTGTATTGCTTTCTAAGACAACATTCCTGGCACATAAAGTGTCACCCTTATCACTAAAATGTTAACCCTATCTCAGATTCGCCTATGTTTTTAGTCTCGTATGATGTCACTCTGTGCTGAAGGATGGTTCCCATTAGAATATGTGGTTTTTACGACAAAATGGTTTGATTAACCAGTTAGGTTACTGTCACAGGCCAACATCAAACGGGCCCTAGTTTCACCAAAAAAAAGAAAAAAGTGAAGTCAGTGTTACTAAGGATGTGTGCGTGTATCCATGAGAGTGTTGTAACACTATTCCTGATAGGGTAAGATGTGTGCATGTGACCATATGCATGTAATGTAATGTTGGTAACAAAATTATAACTCCCTGGGGGTTCACGCTAAATTGCAGTCAGCCGAGCGCGCACGACAGTTAATTAACCCCCATACAGCTTTTAATAGGCGGGACAGACGCTTAAGCTGGCTAAGCTGACAGTAATCTAGTGAGATTCCTCACAGGGATAGATCGATCTAAAATCTACGGGAATGGGGTCTTAGTTTAGGTGTCACAGGCACAATGAGATTTAGCAACAATGGCCTCATAGTCCCCATTTTAGATAGCATTGCCTGTTATGAAATTGTCAACTACAGATTGAAGTAATGTCTCTAATGAGGCTCTGCATTAGTAGAACTTAGCAATTGTTAGTAGTCTTAGAGATGATGAAGATATATGAATTATTGAATGAAGAGAGTTGCAAATTGTTGCAGGAAATAAAGTATTTAGTCATACCATGCAAAGGCACCTAGGAAGTGAAGGTTCTATCGCCAGTATACTATAAGAGAGGAGAAGATGAGAAAGAAAAAAATGTCATCAGTCATTCATTCAGATTATCAGTGGACTCTAATCAACAATTTTTGAGTCACACATATTGAGAATCTGTTAGGAAATGGTGATTTTAAGAGATGGACACCACAGAGTATGTGTAATGGCCACAGGACAGTTCCTGGTTTTATGGTATCCGAGAAGAACAAGCATATCAACAGAAATTACTTTAAAAAATTTTAAGCGTGTTAGCAGTTTGATGAGGTTAAACATGAAATTGTGTATTACACTGAATCAGGAAGCATGCTGCAGAAACTTATAACCAAGGTACCATATCACAATAAAGATGTTCACAAAGGGTTTGGTAATTATCCTTGAATTTCAAATGCCACTTATTTCTGTGTTTCAATATTCCAACATTTTTTTTTCAATTTTAGTCAGCCATTAGATCAGGATTTATGTACTGGTCTTTCAGAATTTTTAATCCTAATTTTTGTAGGTTTTTCTTTTGTGAAATTTAGTTGGTCTTTTTTTGTCCAATTGTAGTGAGTTATTTACCTTTTGGACTAGTCGCAGTTACTCACTCTTCATGAGGGCCATACAGTACCATCACTCTTCATGAGGGCCATTTATTAAAAACACTTCATGAGGGTTATTTAGTACCATCACCTTATGTTAAGGTCATTCAGTACCATCACTCTTCATGAGGGCCATTTATTAAAAACGTTTCATGAGGGTCATTCAGTACCATCACCCTTTTAGGAGGTCATTTAGTACCATCACCCTTTGAGAAGGTCATTCAGTACCATCACCCTTTGTGAAGGTCATTCATCAGAACTATCACTCTTTGTGAAGGTCGTTTAGTACCATCAGCTTTCTTGGTGGTTGGGTGTTATGCCATTCTTATGACAGTTTTCACATGTCATGCTACAGGAACACCATTTCCATGTCTTCTGGCTGTTCCTGTGTGTCACAGTGTTCATTCAGTTCCATTGTTCTCCCAGGGGACCATAAGCAATTGTAATTTTACCATCTGCATTGTCATTGCTTTGTCATGATCATTATCATATGTAACCAGTATGTTTATATATGACTTGTCATCGAAGGATTTTCTACATGTACAGAGTAAAGCGTGACACATGTACATTTATATAAATATTATTGAAAAAAAAAAAGGGACACTGGTGATCAACTTTGAATACATTAAATATGTAGTACTGGGTAAATATCTGTGTCCCTTCAAATGTGACAGACTGACATAGAAAGAGGGGGAGGGCAGCAGACTGCAGAAACAAATTGTTCTCTTTCTTTTTGAAACTAGTTTGGAAATATGCAGGTTTTCATAATTGGGTTTTGTGCTCTGAAACACATTTGGGCAGGAAGAGTGGTAAAGAGATGCCCTTTTACTCAGGATTCTCTTTAAAAAGCATAAATTTTCCACCCAAAATTAACGAGATCATAATGATGTAGTGCATTGTTTTGTTTATGCAGTCTGCTCCCATGGTAAAATACTGCCTTTGTTTGTCAGTTTTATAAGTTATTTTTCTTTACTCAAATACTCCAGTGTAATTTGCCAAGTTCTGTCAAAGAGGGTGGACTGTCCTCCATCTTCTTAGTTCAAATGGAAAAAAAGATTTATCTTAGTTTGTTGCTATAGCCATGTAAGTACTTGGTGCCAGTGGAATCTTCTTTTAAATTTAAACCATGTTAATTACCAGTGCAACAATATTCTTTGTTGCTATGGCAGGTTTTATTTCCTAGGCAACACGAAAACCTTCAGTGGTGTAGTCAAATTGTTGATAGTGTTGTCAAGGTTACCCAGGGTTATGTTTGTTGTTTTAGTGACTATTTCAAACTTTGATATAATCAGTTCTATTTGTAAATGTTAAATCAGCATTTATACTCTTTTAGTGCATGGTATGAATTATGTATGCAAAGCCTTTGAAAAGATATTGATATTTTAGTGTTAGACTTCTTAGTATGGGAATAAAGGATGCTAGTTATGAGTCATTTAGTGATTGTAGAAAATGTATGGAAAAAAAGAGAAAAGATTTACATGCAATCCTAGTTTTTTGTTGTCATGGGCAAAAAGTAATCACTTCTGACTTTTGATTTTATTCAAACTCATCAAATCAAATGTTGCATTCATTTAATTTTTACAATTTGTCAGATTTAAAAAAAAATGAAGTAAGCAAAGATACACAATATAAACACCAATGTAAAACTGTGGAACATGACCTTGTCACCCTGAGTTTCAGATGCCATTGGTAATTGATATATATCTTTATTATCAGTATGCCTATGATTTTCTGTTGACATCTGAAGTCCAGGGTCAGTCGGGGGAACTACAAGCAAATGGAATGTTCATATTTGTAGTTGGTCAAAGTAAAAGCAAGCTTTCAAGTTGCTTCTTTGAATGCAAGAAAGCAACGGAAAATAACCTTTAAATACAGTGACTGTTAGTTTAAATTTGTAAAAGATTGATGGATTTGGCAACATGGTTTAAATATTTTGATTAAAAAAAAGTAAAAGTGATTTGTGTTAAAACTGACAAGATTTTGCTAAATGTCTGAACACAATGAAGAAAATGTTAAAAAACGATGACTGTGAAAGATGTACACAAATGAAAGTATAATATGGTTAGTGGCTTGTTATTTAGGTGTTGTTGAGCAAAATGTGTAGTAAATGTTGTATATTAACTAAACTTCCTAACACCCTGAGTTAACTATGGTGCTGTCCATTTCATCACAGAGTGGTCATGAATAAGAATACATTAAAAAATACTTGGACTCTTATTGAAAGTTTCGCTGGCTAAATTCCTGTTAAGTTCAGTTAATTTACAGAATAACAGCAAGAAACACTTATTCTGAAGCCAGCTTCTGGCAAGCAAAAGTAGAAAAATTCAGGATGAATTCCTATGATGGTCACTATCAAGCTGGTAGCCCTACCTTGTAGACTACACCGATTACTTCAGTGACAGAAGCTAAAACATCATCTGAAAGGGTATGCCCTCTTAGTCTGGAAGTGCATGAGTCCAAAGGCTCATTGGGTAAAAAATGATTTCCAATTGATCAGTCAGAAAATCTACTGGCTCCAATTTGAAATTTAATAATGTCACTTATGTAAAGCATTTCCACTCTAATTTATCTGTTTTGCTTTTAGTACAAAAATGGATTTAGCAATTAATAAGTAAATAGATAAAACACTTTGGGTCAATGAACTCTAATTAATGGAACTATCTAGGCTTTGGAAATGTTCCTATCAGCTAGAATATCCCGCACTCTCCATCTTGAATACCAGTGCTGCTTGTAACAGATAGGATTATGACCGTAGTTTTTAATCAGACTGCCGTGTATTGGAATTGTATTGGAAATAGAGGTTGTATAATCAATGGGTTAGTGGTAGGTTAAATGTTTGTGCACAAATAATAGGTAGTATTCTTTATGCAAAAATCTGAAGCTCATACTTTTGTTGGATTTCATAGGAAGAAAGGGGTGGATGGGGAAATAGTCTGAAATTAGCATTACCATCCTTACAAATAGAACATAACATATATCTCAAACAAGGGATGGGGGTAATTATGTTGATTAGTCTTAAGTGTGGTACTTACCCAATTTAAGGAAAAATAAATAATCTTAGTCCAGTAGTTAACCCCGTTTTAAAATTCTTATATTGTTGTCACTGTGTGGAAATGAAAGGACCATTTACCATTTCAAGATAAAGATGTTGATGATGATGTTCATTGCAAATAAATTTTGCAGATATTACAAACAACTGCAACAATTTGAATTCTTATTCATCTGTCAGATGCCATGTTTTCTAAAGTTTTTTTCAAACTTCTTTTTGTTTTGTTGTGAATGATGTGGGGACGTCTCGATAGTCCGAAGGNTCTTTTTTGTTACAAATTATTATCATGAACACCCTTTTAGTGTTGTTTTACAGCAATTTTTAGATATGAAGTTTAATTTTGATAGAATTCTGTGTTACAGAACTTTAGCCGGCAGATTTCTATCCTTCTGTGGTACCTCAAAGTTTTATTATGAGACTATAACAGTGGTATAAGTACAGAAATATGTTGGCTTTGTTGACCCTAGCTGCTATACCAAACTCAGTTATTTATTGCGAAGACTGAATTTGAAAGCAAAGAGGTTTGAATGTAAAGAATTCTTTATGAAAGGGATTTCTAAGATTGTATTAAAAAGCTTGATCTGTTGCAAAACAAAAAGATACCTTCTTCTAATTTTCCAATTTTTGATCTCAAATTACATACTTTTTAGAAAAACAAAGCACCCATTAAAAATTCTAGTTTGTTTGAAATGTGTTTGAATTATATATGAAGGCTGTCGTTTTTAAGGGGAATTTTGCAGTGTGTACAAAACCAGTATGGGACGAGGTAGAGCATCAGAGTCAACACAGGATAGAGTTTTT